AATTACAAATGATTACAAATTTATTGAGTTGTCAAGTGAGTATGATATAAGATGGATAAGATCGGTTGTAGTCAATTAATAGTGTCAAACAAAACTCAGCTTAATTAGAATTCATTCGTAAATGAAAGTATGTACTCAAAGTAAACATCTTTTGCACTTTGCAATTGTGCGAAAATAAATTCTTGATACGGGTATCTTTAGCAACTTCCATTTGCAAATTATCTTAGTCCAGGTATTCATATTTATAAACAGTGAAATCACAGAGCAAACTGGGTAAATATCGAACGGTTTTTTCCCCGAATCCAAGTCAACATTGCAAATGTGTTCGAATCGAGAAAATAAAAAACAAAACCAGTTTCCTAAGGTTTTTATATGGGAATACTCTGACAATGGGAAAGATGCACTTTGTACTGTAGTTTGCCATAGATGGAGACAAGATGTTCAGAATAGAATTTGTATTGTTCCATATTTTTTAAAAAGGTTTTTTTTGTAGCACCTGAAAACTAAGTAATTTGGCATTTTTAGAACTAATAGTTTGAGTAGAATATGATTTTATATGTAAAACCAAAAATTTATCAGATGATGAGGCTTACTTTTTCCTTTTTCAAAAACAGTTTATTTTAATGGACTACTCTTAATAATGTCCATAAAAATTCCATTTGTGTTTGGGTAGTACATTCAAACAAAGCTAGAGTATTGTACATTTCGTATGTGTAAACCAACTTTTGCTGTCTTGCTTTTAATAAATACCCTCTGGTTGTTGTCTTCCAGTCGTCTGAGGCTGTCGTTTGATGCCTTGACGTAGTTTATAATTTGAATCAGCGCTGTGCATAATTAAAACTCGGAAAAAATGCGAGAAAAATGTGAGAAAAAAGCTAAACACAAATAAGCAAAGTTCAAAACAAGCCTCGTTCGGCCGATATCAAGTATTCTTTGCCCGAACACACAGTACATATTGATTTTAGCAATTACCTGGCAAAGTCGCATCAACAGGTGAGTGAAAGACAGGGGTTCAGGGTCGAAGAAAGGGACGGAGAGAAACACTAAGTTCGTGTCTAGGGATCGTCATGCAGTTTGACTATTTAATTCGCGTGGGGGGATATAATGATATACTAACGAAAATGTCGTGATAAAGTCTTTAGAAGCAACCGCACATAATAATATTATAGGCGTCTCGATTGGGAGTTTAATAACTAGGCAAAAGTTTTTTGTAAACACTTGAATATTGTATAGCCTGAAATCTCTGAAGCGTATCCCAGTCTTTTGATTGTTTTCAATGTTATTTAATTGCGCGAAACTTTGGGTACTTTCATTATCATTATCATTAGCTAAAGCACAAAGCCAAACAATTAATGTAAACATGTATATATAACATTAAGTTTGTTTTTATTTTTGTGTAAGAGCATTGTACGAAGAGTGTTTAAGAGAATCAGCACTGATGACCACATGCCGGTAAAATTATGCGAAATATCTTGTTTGTGCGCAAATTTTCCACAGAAATATATATTAGAAACTATTGTTTGTGTTGTGGGAGAATTGAAGAGAAAGCGTCGGCTCTATCCAAAAGTTGACTATTAAATTGAACTTGTTGATTAGGGCAAATGTTCAAAATGCCAAAACACAGATACACACTCACACTTGGGCAAATACGCGCACACACATTGGCACACATGGAAGTCTTTTCCCCTGGGAGTGAGGGTTATATTAATTAGACGCAATTATTGTGACCCTTCAACTATCCGGTATTAAATGTTATTATTTCGCACCCGTAACTCTGTTTTATTTAACTAACTTTTCGTTACCTAGGCCTGAAGCTTTTGGTTGTAGTTTGGGTTTATGGCTTTTTCTTTTAAGACTGTTGTTGTTTTGAAACACTAAGTTGTTTTTAAATAAACGCGCCACGCTCGAAACACTTGTTATTGTGTGCTGCTTGAGCAAAAGAGAGGATTTGATATTACGTATACGACATGTAGTCCACTTAAGAGCATCCAAAAAATCAGCTGGCTGGCCAGAAAGAGAGTGGGCAACGGCGGTACGATAGGTGAGCGAGCGAGCGAATAGCTGGTCGATTGTAATTCACTGAACGACTGTTCAAAAAACACTGACAAAAACATTGAAAAGCCGATGGTCGTTGGTCGCTCGGCGTTTCAGCTGTTTGCGTCGTCAGCAAGACAGAGAAAGAGAGACAGAGAGATAGAGAGACAGAGAGAGGGAAAAAGTGGAAGTGGGATTGGGAGGGAGGGTAAAGAGATGGCCAGAGGCCCCAATCGCAAAGCCAAACTCGCTGATAAAAGCGAGCAGATAGCGTAGGGCAAATGTCGGTGCCTCTGTTCGCCTGCCTTGTTGTTTTTATTGTTGTTCCTCTCTTGGGCGGCAGCTTTTTTATTGATCCGCTAACACAACACACACCTGCTGCTGCGCTATTCCACACGACATCTTCCGCTCGACGGCGCCAAATCGGTTGGGGCCCTGAATCGCAGCTTTTGTTGCGAGTTTTGTTCTATTTAAAGTCTTTTGTGATCAGACTCCAATACGAGTGAAGTAATTTAAAGATATTGTACACTTTTAGTTAAGTTGTTATAGAAAACCTTTAAACAGCTAACAATAAATTAAATATAATATAATTGTAATATAATCTTATGATTAATAAAAAATATTAATATATAATTTTAGAACATTAAAGATAATGTAGAATTTTGATTATATTTTGTTTTTATAAAAATCTACTCCAGTACAAAATTTACAATTGCATTTACATGACATTGCATTTCCTAAACAAACTTTAAGAATGTTATTTTCAAAATTCTTCTTCATTAGTGCTTTGAACAAGTTAAAACAAATTCAGGTCATTGAAGCCAAATAATATGAAACCAAATAAGATTGATTATCGAATGTGTTCCTGAAGATGGTATTGATTAGGTGACATGAAACTTACCAGGCGGATTTCTTTCAAAACAATGAAAAACTGAAATAATGATGAATAATAAATTTGCTATTGTTTTGTATAGTCAGCTTGCATTCTAGCGAACCTGGTGCTGAGTCCCGTTTGTCATTTCCGGAGTACAAACAATAGCATCTAGGGTGCAAAGCAATTTGATTTATAAAGTGTATTACACTAAATTAATCGCAATAATATCAGCCCATTAAATCGAGTTCTTATCGCTGACATTTATCTTTAAGGCAAAGCCTGTGCTGTCTGAAAGGACGCAATTCTTTTAAATGTAAAAGGTCACCAAAGGTTAGCAAACAAATCAAATAACCATTTTATTTACAGATAAGTTATCGCTTTTATTAATATTCCCATTTGACTTAAATTAAATTATGTAAATATATATTTATATATAGATGTGTATATATCATTAGCATACAATTAGATTTACGTCTTTAGAGTTGCTTTGCCTGCTTTCCATTGCATTCTAGATACACTTTGTATTTCCCTACGCGAATTTCTATATAAAACCTGATAGCCAATGCATAATTAATAATTTCTTATAAATTGATGCCAATTGCAAAAAAAATTTCGTCTAATAAAATTAACTAGAATTGTTATTTGATCCTTGAATTAAGAAAAGGCCATTCTTTAACTTCAGGACAAAGTACAGGAGGAGGTTAGGATGGGGTTAAGGAAAGGTCATGTGAGGATTTTTGATGAACTTAAACGAGCCCAAATGAATAAAGTCAATCAAAGCTGTGGACGGATATGCATTGTATAATACAATTAGACGATGAATGGATTAACGATCAAATCAAATGCAGTAAGAACCTAAACAATGTATTAAATGGTTGATCTGTAAAACTTTCTAAATCTTCCCCAATTTTTGGTTTTTCTTCTAGGCTTTGAGTATCAATCGTTTTCTGTGTTTTTTGTATTATCTCTATTTGGGTTTGTTTTCGTTTTACATTTTTAGCTGCTTGTTTGGCTTATACATTTGTCGAAAATCCGTAAAATCGCTCCAAAACTTGTTTTTTTTGTGTTTTCTATGTGATCTAACTTTGTCGCTAATAAAGTTGTTTGTGGTTGTATTTTGTAATTCCCTCTATATCTCTCTGTGTGTGTTTCTATATTTTTGGAATATATTTCGGAGTATCTGAGCGATTGACTTCGAGTATCTTTGAGTTAGTCTTAGTGTGTCTTGGCCAAGCGAACCGTTTCCATCTGTATAACATGCGCCAAAAATAAACCTATTATTCCCAAAACGATATCAAAGAACTCCAATGTTTTAATGCTACTACACATTTACGAATTAGCATAGTCAAAAATGGTTGAAGGCTTAACTCTGAATTCGCTTAACCATTTCCAGCTAGAAACATCTCCGGCGTGGCTTAAAGGGGATTGTTAACTTTTTGGATTACAAAACTATGGGTTAATTTCACTTGATTGCTCAACTTTTCTATGATTTTCGTGATACCTCCGAATTAGTTTTCCCCCTCCAATTCTACCCCCACTACGCACCTGACCCATCCAAAGTTAATCTATTCGCATGGCACTCTCTTATCGCTGGCCGTGGCCAAATGGCACAACTATTATACACGTTTATATGGTTTATAATGAAAAAACCGGTGTGCCATCGGAACCCAGTTGGAAGTGGCAGAAAACGACGGATTCCCTCAGTTTACTCAAACACCTCGGGTCTAAAAAACCTGGCTATCTTTAGAGCAGAAGTTCCAGCACTTATTAAATGATAACTAGCGATATGGTAAAATGGTAAAAACACATGGTAAAACGTAGTTAATTGGACACAAGTCGTAGTAGTCGGAACATTGTAATCTGATAATCAGTTTTGTGTCTTATGCGAGTGCGGAAATAATAAGTGTTGAATATGTTTGGGTTCTAGCAAACTACAGCATGTACGCCATGTATGTACATTATGGTAATGTTTATATGTAACTTCGTATCTTGATTTCCTACGTTATCTGCCTGCCTGACCTCAGACCACAAAAAAAAAGCTTGAAAGAAAGGTATATCTTTACATAAATTTGTATTTCTGCCCGCTTGACAATTTTTAATAAGAACCTATATTTGGTTTTCTGTTTAGTACACGAGTTAAGATAGTTAATTACTATGGCAGGCATATAATAATGTTAACAGATTTCAAGCCAATTGGATTCGCCGTAAATATTAATGATTATTGAATTAAATACGTATGTCATGTTATTGAGATTTGGAATTAGCTGATTTTAATTTGATATTTATACGTTAGGCCAAGTTTATGGTATCACAAATTAGATTAAAAAAATCATAAAAATTAGATTTTATTTGCTTTTGGTCAGGTAGCCTAGGGCAAATGGGCATAAATTTTAGACGTAATAATTATTTTGGGCAAAAAGGAAGAGTTCAGTGATGATTCGATGCGCACATACACGGACACACTAATATTAATATACATATATGCTATACAGTTACTAGAATGCATTCATTGGCGATTTAGTTTATCGATTATGGGGCTTCTTATGTTTCCATTCATTTTAGTTTTATGAAAAAATATGTTGTTCTTTGTTCTTCGCTTACAATCTACAATTATCCATTGCTCTAAATATGTTTGGTTTTTTCTTTTTTGGTTTGTAAAATATACATACATATACAATATACATATATAGATAGATCCTTATGTTCAGTTGTAGATATACACATTCGTATGTGCTAGAAAAGGTTTTCTCCACTGGAATAGATATACACAAATATAAGATCTGCTTGATCATAGCAATCGTAATTTACACTTAAGTCAATTAACTTTGAGTACTAAAATTATAGGACAGCTACAGAGAAAACTAAGGAGATCGATCGAACTGGCAATGATATGGTAAAGAGTATAGATCCATAGTGTGTTAGTTAACTCGGCGAAATCAAAGTTCACTTAAGATTCGTGTCTGAGAGAGGAACATAATTACAAATGAGTCTGAAGAGAGAAGTGTGTAAGGACCTCCGTGTTTGTGTCCCATCTCCTCTATCGATGCGAGTGCAGGTTGCCCTCCACCCACTTGTAGAGCGACGTCTGTGACCGGGCCACCCACTCCACGTTGGAGGCCACGCTGCTCAAGGTCATATTCAGCACGGACATCCCGTGACCTCGGCCGAATCGATGCACCAGTGACTTGAGCTGAGGGGAGGCAAAACCAAAAGACCATTAATTTAATAAACATTTTAAAACGCATTTCATTAAAAATTAAACATTCTCCATAGACTGTATTGTAAGTTACACAACACCCTGGATTACTATAACTCACCTCATCGTAGTCAAACTTAGTGGCTCCGTACTGAGTGATGGCCGATATAACCTTGGCAAAGCTAATCGTGCCCGGACCCAGGCGCTTCTCCAGCTCGAACCACTTGGCCTGCAGGAAGCGACAGGCCATGGCTCCGCCCGTCGGCGTGCCTGCGATGGCTTTTAGCACCTGCACCACCTCCTCGGTGGGCAGCATTGTCACATGCGAAAGCAGGCGGTTCTGTAGCCAGGCATCCTTGGTCCTTCCCAACGCGCGGAGCAGCTGCATCCGCTCCACAAAAGTCTCCGAGGTGCGCTGGAGATTAACGAAACGCTCCCAACAGTGCTGCCAGTAAATATACTCCCCGGACAGGATAGAGCCGGTGTAGACCACCTGGGGAAAGAATACCAAAAATGAGTTATTACAATTTGTATATCAAGATATACGGCATAACAAACCTCTCTAAGATTTGGCGGAATGGCGGAACCATTGTAGTATAGATATTGGTTAAGCATGTTCTTCGCCTTCGTGATGCTATCAATGTCCTCCCACAGAACCGATGCCAACAGCACCTCGGGACGCAGTAGCCTTTAGAAATTAGAAATAGTGTTCAAACTAAAGATCTTTAAGGCATTCATTATGTTAAGCTCACCTGGTGGCCACATCACCGTCATCCGACCAGCCCACCTTTTCCATAACCGTGGAGATCTTCATTTTGATAAACTCGCTGAGCATGAGGAAGCACTCCGAGTACTTGAGTATGCGACGCCATTTCTCAAGATGCCTCAAGGCTAAAGCCATTGGTCCGTAGTGCGTTTCGCTGGGCAGATATTGGATCATATTCATGGTGATCTCGCAGGGCAGCAGATTAGCATGGCAGAGCGTAAAGGCGTCCGACAACAGGCCTAAGCGATCCTGCAAAATTAAATTTAAATTAGCTATGATTAACTGTTTTAATGCTTCGAAGAATACCTCGCTGGTAAAGCGCTTGGGATTAGTGGCCAACTCCTCGATGAGACTGGCCCAATTGTCGTCGTTGTAGACCACACGATAATAGCCGTTTTGTATGGCATTCACTTTGATCCATTTGACGTTCTCGGGAACGTTGAAGGTTACTGAAAAGAGGTTTAGAAAATTGTTAGCATTTGTTTTTAATAATACATACATGACTTCCATATAAATACTTAATTAATTAAGTTACTGAACAAAAATAAATAAATATTATGGTTTCGGGCCTATTAGTAATCACAGTATTAAATTCATATCTTGTACAACTCACCATCAACGTTCTGCATCCAGAGGGTTTCGCTGACGTTGTTAATATCGGTTACGTATGTGACCGGAAATATCCATTTCATGTGAGGCACTGCCTTGTGTTTGCTACCCTGCGTTGTGGGCGGCACAGTACTTGGCATATCCGTGGCATTCAGCGACGACTTATTATAGTTGTTTCCGTCGTAGGAGTCATCGTGGATGGCTAGAAAATCAGCTGGTCGAAAGGGCCTCTGCGAGATGGAGATGCTGTTGCCCATTTTGGTGACAGTGAGCAACGGAAAACCCGGCTGGTGGGTCCACAGAGTCATCATGTCCTTGATGTTCTTCGAACCGTTCGCTTTCTTTGTACAAATGGTCCACAGATCTGTGGGCTCGGCGGTCCTGAATCGATTTACCTTGAGGAACGAGCCGAGGCAGCCCCTAAAACGATCCTCACCGATGGCCGTGTGCAACATGGAGAATATGGCTGCTGTCTTTTGGACGAAGAACTCCTCATTGTTGCCATCATGACTGGTGCCATTCATAATGCTATCCCATCCTTGGATGGCATCTATGTCCAGCGCTGCAGTGGCCATCTTAAGAAGGTACATCTCTCTCAAAGGCCAGCTCTCTTGAAGCGGAGCCAAAGCATGGATACCCAGGTATTGGATCAATCCCTCCCACAGCCACACATCCTTGAGCACTTTGCGGGAAGTGATTCCTCCGAAGAACTGCCGCACCATCGCCTCGGCAATCCGTAATGCACTAAACTGATACTGTTCAGAGGTAATCGAACTCGGATCCGTCAGGAATGAGGTTTTCAAGGTGACCAATCCCAGCGAGGAGATCATATTACGATCCAACGAAGGCAGCGCCACAAAGTCCACCTTCGTGAGGGGATAACTGATGTCCAGCCAGGTCTGCAGATACTCCAGAACATCCCTCGATGTGTGCAGAATGAAGGAGGAGCGAATCAGCAGATCCCTGGGCGCGTAGAAGGTGTACGAGGGAGCTCTCTTAATCGACGAACCCGTGGACTGTGACAGCGATGTGAGATTCGTGGGCTTTCCATTTCCATTGAGATTCACTGGCCACGCTGTCGTCGTCGTGGACTGAGTCACCGTCAGATTTTGGCGCGGCGTCAGGTTGACATTCAATGAATGAGTTAGGGCAGTGATGTTTCGTACCGGCGGGTTTTTGCCTTTAAGCTGGGTATAATTGTTTAGCTGGGCGGACTTTTTGCCACCCACTCCGGTACCAAGTGGCGCTGGAGTCGTGGGGATATATGCCGCCGAGGGCTGCAGGGATTCACGCTGGAAGTCGCTCACCACCCAGGCCACCGCATCCGCTGGCAACGGAGGCGTCTCTATAAAGTCGTCACGGAGCTGTGGGGAATAAACTATTTATTATACATATTTTTTTTACTTTGGTTGCACTCCATTCTTACCAGCCCAGTGCCCATGTAGAAGCCCACGTCCTCGGTGGTGTGCACTATGGAGTTGGACAGACCAATGTGGAAGCGATCTCGGAACACGGAGATGCGGAATGGCGCCCGAACGTGCGGCTCATCGAAGCAGGGAAACGCTCGTCTTGCACCATTCGGCCGGAAAACTGTGGCAGCTAGTAATCTAAAAAGAGAAATTTGTAGGTGTTTTATAAATAAATAAATATGTGAATAAAAATACTTTTAAATATATAGTTATATTACATAGTTAAGTACCCACTAACTACTACAGCTATGGACATTTTTTATACAAATAACTAGAACTCATATTGTATGATCCAATAATTATCATTAAGCAAACTTCTTCAGCATGAATGGAGCCCTAAAAAATAAGCACTAGATGGGTCTTCTTACCTTTCCACGCCATTGGAGCTCTCATACTGGTCCACATAGAAGCCCTCAGGCTCCGGATTGAGCTTGGAGTACCAGCGCAGGTTGAGAGTGTAATTGGACTTCTTCTTGAGCTTCTCCTTCACCTCAATGTAGAGCTGTTGCCGAGGCGGAAACTCCAGCACCTTGACAATCTTGAGGGCGTAACCCTTGGGTCCTGGGGTCACGATGGCCTGCAACCGAAACGGGAATGCAATCAATGGGCGCACTCGAGCCAGACGCTAATTGGCTTAATTTGCATGCCGCCGGACCGAAACTAGCTTACCTTCTCGGTGACGTTGAGGTCCTGGATGTGCAGCACAATGAAGTTCGTCTCCTTCTCCACATGCAAATCGATGGTGACTTGGCCTGGCCAAGCGGAAATATGAAAACGAAAAGCGGAAGAATTGAAAGTCAGACAATCAAATTATAATTCCATCCATGAATATTATTGGGCAGGAGAGCTGCCCACTTTCAAATTGCTAACCAATTTAAAAGCAAAGAAATCGAAAAAGTCAATTTAAATATCCAATTTTCCACAATATAAAAGGAAGTGAACACTTGAATGAGATTTTAAGAAGTATAATAAATTTTTGTGGCACCCCGGATTAAAGTGCCACAAAAATTAAAAGGTTTTTAAAATTGCTTATAGAAAAAATTCAAAACATAATTGTAATATATTGCTGTAAAAACATTTGTGATTTTAGCGGGAGCCCCAAAACTCCCCTTTTACATACGATTTTTTTTTTGGAAAATGAATAACAAAAATTGTAAAGCTAAAAAAATCGCGCTGAAGGGTTCCAGACTCACCTTTAACATCCAGTGTCGTTAGGTTGGGATGGATAGTAACCATGTAGCGCAGGGGTCGCACACTGGTCGGCAGCATCTTCTCCAGCCAGGGAAACGGCTCCCCATTGGTGGCAATCGGGTTGAAGGGCTGAGTGTTGTTCTCTTCATCCGATTCGTAACCGGACACCGTTTTCGATCCGCAGGAGCAGTCTGCAAGGATAGTCAAGGTGTGTAATCAGTATCGGGTACGTTTTAGGACTCGCTACTCTTCTTTTTCGCGGACGACTCTTTTGGGGATTCGTAGCTATGTTCGTTAAAGCAAATTGCATTATACACAATCAACAGAGAGAGAGAGGGTTAAGGGGGATAATCATCTAAGTTTGGGTAGGGGTTAGCATAAAGAAAAGCTAGCAATAAATCTGATTAATAATTGGATTCGGTTCAATTCATTAGCACATCTAGTGGGGGTGAACGGAACTCAAACGAGGGAATTCACAAATGGGGGATTTTCTTTCTAGCTGAATGTCGCGATTAATCGAATGGAATCATATCAATAGCAGTGGAAGTAATGGAAAATCTAAAGATTATAATCCATAAGCCATCAGGAGTTCAAAGTAAACGCTACATCATTAACAAAAGATATATCGTTACACCTTAATAAGTATATGCAAGTTCATTTAACAACTAATTATAGATAAAAGACTTAAAAGTTGACTTGTCTTTTTATGGAGAGTATTAAACTTAAGCTATATGTGTCCTTCAAAAGTATCAGTGCACTTGCTTTGACTTCATTTCTAATAAAAAGTGTGTTCTTTGACCTCTATATGACGTTTATATTGCCTATCAATGACTCATTTTTTGACCAGTGATGTTTAATATTTACAATAAACTTTTAAATTAAAAGAATCTTATTCTTCTTCCACTAGCGAAATATAACAAATAAAAGATCTAACATCTAGGGATAAAAAAAAAATGTGTCAAAATAACAAAGGAGTAAAAGATAAGTTGAAAACAACAGATGATCAATGACATCAACATGCCGAATGAATATAGATTGTCATGGCTATTTACCAGTTTAGAAGTATTCGGGTTTGACATAATTGTTACTCACATTTTAACCAATCAATCAAACAAGCATTTAAGAGAAATATTTCATATTTTTCAAAAAATTCATATATATAATAAACATTTCGTATACAAAGTCGAAGGCAAAAGGGAAACAAAAATAGGAAACAAACAAATGATGGTCAGGAAATCAAATCGATATTATAATGGATATATATACTGTATAGAAGGGCGTGAAATAAGTGTAAAGCTGGTCGAGCTCTTCTAATTGCATTGGCGGAAGCAGAAGTAAAAGCTACCAAGCGGCAAATACTGATTGATTAAAGAGCTCGCTGCAGGGAAAATTAAATTTCCACCAGACATGTGTCTGCTTACATTTCCCCCCAATCCGCAAACACACTCTCGTGTGGCTTGTTTTCCCTTTCCCTTGGGTTAATGCAATTATCCCCAATGCATTTAGCCCCATTAGATATGCAACAGAAACTTCCAGCGAGTATGTGAGTGTTTGCACTTTGCATAATTCTGCAGTTGAATATGGCCAGAGACACACACAGTATCAGGTCGAGGCCTATGGATCCATTGAGGACGTCAGGATGGGACAGGTGGGGTAAGGTGATGCAGCTGCATCTATTTATAAGCGAAATGAAACTGATTCCGCAACCGCCCAGCTTAATATGGTTAAAAGCATATTCCTCCCGGCCAAATGGATTGCTGCGGTCAGATGGTTTATGACCTGCCGGTCAAGGAATTCAATTACCATTTATACCGATTTATTGGGTCTCAACTTTGAACCTTGAGGCGGCTTTAGTCATAGACACTTTGCTAAGGTAGAGAGAATGGGCTACATTATTTTTGATTCCCTTACACATGTTGATTTATGGCTCCTTAGTAATTGCAATATTATACACGTTTATCGGTTGGACTATCCTGTGCAAGGCTTCTCCCCTTAATCAAACCCTTTAATTCATAGTTTGTATTAAAGTTCAAGGTTTTTTGGTTATTTAAAAATTTGAAGGGTACAAATTTTAATCGAGCTTAATTTTAAATTGTTAATTTCCATTTATCCAAGTTGGAAATCTTTCTTATAGAATGTAGATATGTATATAGTATATGAACAATTTAAATTGCAAATCCAAAATCTATATTAACACTTTCACTTATTTTTCAGAACATAAAAAAATATTGAAATTGTTTGTATATATTTCCTATTAAAAAGATTTCCTTTAGTATCATATTAAAAGAAATTTTAACAAAAGCTTAAAACTGTTCTTTAGTTTTAGAACCCCTTTCAGGAAACAAAATTCATTGTTCCATTCACGTCAACAGAATCCCTCTTTTACAATTTCCTATTTTTAAAGCTGTCAAATTTTGGAGACCCTACCGATGCCACAAAGCCGACTTTTTCCCCCACACAATTGACTACATGTCCTGTCGCCCCCAATAAAAGCGTAATCAAGTAACAACAACAAAGGGTGACCCCAACCGCTCCTGGTTTTATTGTGGGTGAAAAAAGGAACGAGGTGAATATGCTCGGAAAAAAATTCGTAGAAAGAAAGGAAAAGAAACGGAGTGAGGCTGGTGCGGTGGAGCACCATGGTTCTTGTGGCATGGGTCTTGGGGCACGGGGCAAACCTACCGTTCTGCGGTCCGGCGTAGGCAATGATGATGGCCGTCAGCAGCAGCGAGCCGAGCACGATTCCGGCCACAAGTAGAGCCCGGCGCTGTGAGCAGACGGCGACTCCGGTACGCGTCTGCCGCCCGCCGCTTGATTCGCCACCTGTCGAAAAGAAACGGGGAAAATGTAATTAAACTCAGTATAAAAGTCATCGTGGGGCTGTGCAAATATTTTATATGGATGGGTTGCATTGCGATTGCCACTGGAGTTGAGTGCCTCTCCGTAAAAATAACACAAAACGGGGGTCAGCTTACTGAGAAAATCCAGAGCCAAGATAAAGTTCGAATTTCGGTTAAAAATTCGTTGGAATACAAAGTTCTAATATCGAGTATAAGTAAAAAGTTCGTTAATCTAGTATACAGATCTTAAGTGTTCTATTTTAAAATGTGAAAACCATTTGTATCTCCAATCAGTAAAAGCAACTTCCGCTATGTTATCAAGTAACAATGGCGAACAATTTCCCCTAATGTTACTATTTATTACGTAATAATTATATTAAATTACCCAAAGGTTTTTAGCACACTTCAATGAAGAAAAAAACCTTAATTAATTATTATTTATAGTTCTGAACCGTAAAGAATTTTGAAAGTATTGCTACATTTAAGCATTGCATTTGCCTATCACTTTTATTTAACTTTCCAAGTTTTTCAACTTACCGGATAGAAAGGCACAGTCATCGAGGTCCGGATCATTTGTCATCTCGATGCGCTCGCGACGCCAAATCTTAGAGCCTCTCTGACCACCGCCGACGACCGAAATCTTAACGGGGCCGGTGTCTCTGTGTCTTCCGGCCAATACGTACGCTTGCTAACCCGTGGCCGTAAACGAATTGGGGCTCGAAATCGGAACCGAAACCGCAGCGAACCCGTTGAATCACGCACTTGGTAATCTGGCACGCCGCAAATAATTGCCGGCTTGTTTACTCTAGAAGGGAAATCACAATCACTTTATAACCCATACAGGTCGAACCCCTTTGGCCAGAACCCCCTTTTCTGGGTCACGTGCTCTTCATAGTTTATTCACAACCAATGACCGGAATTGGCTTCTTGCTTTCTGTGCTTATGGATTTTACTGTTTTTACCCCTTTACCAATAAATCGACTGCCAAAAACTGAAACGCCTTTGATGAGTTGATAATCGTATGGCCAAAAATGTGCCCCCAAATTTATGCAGATACCAACTTTCCGTACCGTTTTTCTTAGGATTTTTTCAATTGGTTGAGCACTTACTTTTGCCTTGAATAAGAAACAATTTTCTTTAATTTTGCTGTCTTGCTTTCGGACTAAAGGTTATTTCTAAATTTTATAAGCAGTAATTTTAATTTAATTCGATACTTTTTAAAACAAATTTTCAAGCAAAGCTGATAGTTTTAACATTTTTGAGGCAAAACTTTCAAAGAATAATGTGAGTCTGTCCAATGTCTTCAAATCTTTTTTAAGAGACGTTATAAACATTTTTTTATGGCCTTTGATTGCTTGATTTAAGTGCTCATGGATTTTTCTGTCTGCACCCTTTCACCACAAAATCGACTGCCAAAAAATGAGGCGCCTTTGACGAGTTGATAATCGGGCGACCAGAAATATACATACATAATTTATGCAGATAGCACTTTCCCAGAATGCTTTCGTTTGGCAATTCCTTAGCCGTCTCTTTTGCCACCCCCTCAGTTGGCCGAAAGCCAGACGCTGACGCCCTTCCGGCTCCGTCTAGTCAGACTACGGCTGCCCTGTCCGCCCCTGTCCGTAATTCTGTCCATGGGTCCCTTCTGAGAGTCTGCACTTTTCGCATTCAAGCTCACTGTTTTCAATGTCGCATTGAATTAGTGAAAAGCGCTTTCAACGCCCAAAAATCAACCCCCCAAAAATATGTTTTCATCTCTCTCTGTTTATCTCTGTCTCTCTCTCTTTTTGTAGCCGGCTTTTGTGTGGAATATGTATGTACTATTTAATGTCCGCATTTTTGTCTGCCTTTGAGAAGCTCTTGAATCTGAAGTTGGCCGCCTGTAGCATCATTCTGGCATAATTTGTGGTTAAGGTTTGTAAGGCGTAGCAACGATAATTTAAGAATAAAACGAATAGCCGTACCAATTGGTAAATTGCAGATAAAGCACACACCTTGAAGGTAAAAATGATTCAGAGTTCTTATCTTGTTGGAACAACTGATTTCAGCCATAGTATCAGCTGATTTTGATAAGCTCAAGGGGCGGCCGGCTGTTCCCAAGTGGAAAATCTCAGAAAGTCTAAAATACTTATTTTTAAATGAAATGAAGAAAACTAATTATTCGCTACTGATTTTTAGATAATTGAAAACTTTTTTGACCCAATATGTCAGCGAGCTGTGTAATTTATTAGGTCTTTAAAATTTGTAAATGTTTGGTCCTTGACGCAGATTATAATTTTTTATACAATGAATATAAATCACGTATACGTAGGTAAGTAAAAAGCAATTTTGAAAAAAAGTACAATTCAATATTTTATATTACTCTCTGTGAAATTGAAGTCGTAAAATCCGCCATTAAAAGTTATGAATACAAACTGAAACCATTTGTACACATTTTTCGCATGTCAATTTATCTACAAATGTGACTTAAAAAAAGCGATCGCAATAAAAAGTACTATTTACGGGTGTCAACAACATTTGCTAACTATTCAATTCGCGTTTGGCCGTGTTTGTTGTCGCCTAAATTGTTCTTTAATGAGGTTTCGCGTTCTGTTTGTTTTTGACTTTTCTCTTTGTTTAATGTCAATGTCAGAATGGGAACCTAATCCTAATTTCCAAGTGGAACAAAGGCTATTGTTTGTCTTCGTGACTGCACCTCCTCTCAAATCCAACCCCTCCTTCCATTTCTGTACCATGGACATATACCACGCAAGAAACGTGTTAAAGCATATATCACAATTCCATTTTATTTTTGTTTAACGCGGCCGCCATTTGGTATTTGTTTACATTCTCATTTGCTCAGCGAAAATAATGGAAAGGTAAAAAAAACCTTAAGGAATAAAGAGGGAGAGATGGAGAGCGATGTGGGAGAAAGAGAGAGCTTGGAAGTGAGAGTGGAAGAGTGAGTGGAGCGCTCTCACTGGAATCTGTGTTTTGAAATGAAATGTCAAAATGCAAAGCTCAACAGCGCGAATTTCCTTTCGTTGTGCGCGTGTATAAGTGAATTTCCTGTTTTGTCTTATGCGGCGTTTTCTTCCTCTCTTGCGCTCCAATCTACGCGTATATATGTCAATAGTGCGCTTTCCAGTTGCCCCCGCTCTTGTTTCCCTTAACGCCCGCGTCCCCTTCCCTTCGCCTATCTCCTTTTTTTCGCACTTTTTTGCCTTTAGCTGCTCCCTTTTCCCCTTTTTTCGCCTTTGTTGCCACTTGACTGAATTGTGGTTCTCGGCTGCAGTTGCATTTAACATGGCAATATATCATAACGATGCATTTCACATTGCTAATTATAAAAAAAAAAGAGTTCAAGAGCTTGTTCTGTTTTTTAGGGGTCTCTGGTCAAAAAGGTCAATTTTAGCAGATCAATAAAAATAAATGCACATACTAATTACTTGAGGCTTGGGATGGGAATTAAACACTTTAATTTGATGATTTTTCGTTTGATTGGCTTCACTACACTTTTTCTGTTCTTTATTTTTTCTTATTTTTTTGGTAATTTTTTCTTTTTTTTTATAGACACGCACAACGGGAGGGGGTTGAGGGGGCAGCACGCGACGCATTCGACTGTGTGTATGTGTGTGTGTAAGTCCTTTTTGTCAAGACCGAGCTGTCAGTGTGCTTTCTGGTTCAGAACGCCGCCTTTTGTCACGCGCTTTTTGTTGCGTTTAAGTGCTCGTACATTTTCCAACTGGATGCTGCCTCAGCAAAACGGCGTGCAGCAACCCTGCGAGATGCGAGGTGGCAACCCCAAAAGAAAGTCCGGCGCATGACCACCCGCTCTTTCGCTCTCTTGGGCTGTCTTTCCACTCTCTCTTTCCGACAGAGAGCTTCGCTCACCTGCAAAAGTGAAAATGAAATTTCCTTGGAGAGCTCTTGTGTTTGGTGTCTTCCCCCTCTCTTCTTCTCCATTTCCACCCGCTGACTGGATTTTTGTTTTGATACAACCAAAAACAAATATAAGCTTAAAAGCTATGGTTGTTCTCTGTATACCCTTTAGAATAACAGTTTTCTGTTTAGTTTGGAAAACGGCTGCAAAACACTTGAAAAATTTTGAAAGTGTCGAAGAAAATTGTAAATGTCAAATCAAAGAGTTTATAAGGTTTCTATTCATAGCTTACAAAATGAACTGATTTATACATTTACTATAACTGTTTCGAATTTTTTTAACATACCCTTGAACTCCACGACTACCGGGTATTAAAAGAAAAGCGTATATTAAAGTGTTGCCAGGCGAACGAGTAGCGGAGCAACCCTTAAAAGTCCCCATAACCCCCCTCTATTTTCGCCCACATGCAATCATTTGTTGTTGTTCTTGTTCATGTTGTGTTGTTTATCATGTGCTGGCCAACTAGTTCAATCTGGCAGGGGCTCATCATTAGAAGTTTTCGTTTAAGGGATGAGTTCTCTCTGCTTTAACATTTGATTTACTCTGGTTTTCGTGCGTAACAAATTCGTACAGAACGGAATTATAATTATTTCGTTGACATGTGAGTGAATTTGTCATAAAAAATGCTGTCATACCATTAGCGTTTCCCGTAAGGGGATGCGATTTTTATGATTAAAATTTCTATTTATCCCTGACTATTCCATTTGGAATTTACGATGTCCTGATGCTGCGTTGTGTTGCCTAGTTTTAGGTCGGCTTGGCAACTGGGCAACAATCAACAAATGGAGCACAAAGCTCAACCGTAAATGGTAATTCGCTTTAGGAAGTTTGCCGGCAAATGAAATCTCATTTTTTTCCCTTTTGCCTCTTTGTTCCGGCAATGCGACGAAAGTTTTTTTGGGGATACATGTAGAAGAAGAAACACACCACCGGTTCGCGGTGACTTGGCGGAAAAATTGGGGATGCTCCTCCGGCCTTTATCCTCCCCTTTTCGTACCATTTTCCCAATTTCCCAAGCCACTGACTTCGCCCACCGGCTCAACTCAATAAATTCGTCGTCACGTTAGTGTAAAGTTTTCCCTTTGCGGTCTCGTAGGTTGAGTCGCGCTGAATCGTGTTCATTACGCGTTGCCACACCTCATCGAGTGCCCGCCCCCTTTTCAGTTGTCGCATATCTGGTTTAAAGCGTTGAATATGCGGAAGCTTAAAATTGGATTAAACCGAATCTTGGTACCCTTTGAAAACTAAATATCTCTTAGCAATCACAGCTTTAAGCTATTCCCTACTTTAAGTTCAAGTTAAACAAAAATTTTCTTATAAAACATTTAATAAATGCACATGGTTTTGTACTGGCAGAGCCTCAAAGTGTAGGATAGAAAATTGCACACGGTGCAGAACTGCGAACAGCGAGAAAAAAGTCGCTGCACACGTTGCCCGAATGTTCGGTTCGGCTCAGGTCTCCGGTTTTCGCTTTTCAACTCTGACCCTTAAATAGCACCCCCACAAAACACCATTTCTCTTCACATTGCCGGTCCCCCGCTTTTTGTGTCCGACAATTGAGTATTTGCTGTCGCATGCAAATTTACTGGCCGCACTTGTGACTTGTCATGTGCTACACATTCACCACCCACAATCGCCCATCCACACACTGCCACATATTGATCCCATTGAGCATCTAGAGGAAATCCCCCATTCACCCATCATCCCCTTCCATCGCCGGGGCTACTAACTGGTTGAACATGCAGAAGATGGCCACAAGTGTTCGCCAGACTTTGGGATGGGGAAAGGCGGATGGGGAAAGTGGTTGCTGGGTCATTGCAGTGCCGATGGAAATGCGGTGGTTAAATAATCGCTGTTTATGAAACAATCAATAAATTTAAGCTGTTACTGCCATTGCTGCAGAGCAAACACTTGGCCAAGAGTCAACGCAGGGTGGCTCTTGTAATCGAAGATTGTTATTGTGCTATTAAGGGCTAGTCGTCTGCGGCGTTTCGAAATCTGGTTAGGCAAAAATCAAAATATTAAATATGAAGTCCTTGGCTCTACAGAAAAATAGAAGTTTAAAGAAGAAGTTTAAATAAACATCTCCGTTTAAATACGCAATTATAATTTAAAACCCGATAGAGAAGCTTGACCAACAAAGTTTAATTTAGATTATTAGGTAAAACCTTTGAACTTGGATTTGACACACCGAAATCATCTTATCATGTCACACTGATGCTATTATATAATGAATTTGGTTTTGATTATATTATAAAATCCGCTCATTTTACTTTATTGATAAGCAGTACTTAATCTCTGAATTATTATGGGGCCTCTCCCGAAAAAATCTCTAATGGACCGTTTAGTTTCCTAATTGCAATGACAAGAGGCAGACCTTTTTTCTGGATAAGCAGCCTGCTTCTAATTGGCGTTATGGCAGACACTGTGGAACTTACCAGGGCCGATCCCAATGGCTTAATCATTAGCCAAGTGCTTAGTTACATGGATGAAAGTGTTGAACCCTGCCAGAATTTTCGAAACTATTCAGTCAAGTATGCAAAACGGTTGAAGCCGCCGTCATTAATGGCAAAGTTTCAAATCCTGTTCGACGAACTAAAGGATCAGGACTTTGAGAAAGGTAGCCTGGAGGGGAAAATGCAGCGATTCTATAACATTTGCCTGGCAAGGAAGACAAGCAATAGTCGTATACCTCCAGCTCAGCAACTGACTATGCAGGAACTGGAGAACCAGTATGGAAAGTCCCTGGCGAAGTTTCTTGAAAACATCTACGATCAAACCATTCCGCCCAGCGCTGTAGTGCATGTTAAGAGCCAGGAAGACCTGATTAGGTTCAAGGTATTGTTAACAACCTTCAACCCCGATATAGAGTTGAAAGACGAGATTTACCGAATTTTTCATTATTCGCTAAGTTTCCCTGTCATCGAAAGAGTTCACGGCTGTGTGAAGACTGTGAACCTTTACCTGCAATTAGCTTCAAACCTTATCTATGAGGAGCGTATCCTAGGCCCCGAAAAAGTAAGTCAATATCGGTCTCAGGTCGATAAGATTTTCGAAGCGATACGCCATCAAATGATCATCAGACTGGAAAGAAACTCACAGAACTGGACGACGCCTGAAATTAAGTACCTTCAGAGAAGCTTAAATAACTTGACCCTAAGTATTGCTAACATACCAGAGGAAGTCAACCACCGTGAGTTTGTTACCGACTTTTACAAGGATTTGGACTTCAACGACGACGACGACTACGATTCTGCCGTTCAAAGGGCTTCGGAGTACAGGCTCCTTAAACAAGTAAACCAACTGGACCAGGGCTTGAATACAATATATAGCCGAGGTAAAATCATCGTAGTGCCTTACAGTTTATTGGAAAATCGAATCTTTGACCTCGACAGTCATGACTTATTTAAGATGACCGAGCTGGGAATTCAATTAGTATTTAATATGTTAGAAATTTGCAGGCCAAGAAGATGTACCCAGCGTAACGGTAATTTTCTGAAAATATTTGACGATAACAATATAATTACAGTAAACCTATACTGTTCCAAGCTATATAGAAGCGATGATTTATTAGCTAAGCAACAAGTGATCCTTATCGTCCTGAATCTCGTCCATGAAGCGTATTTCGCACCGGATTCAAAGTTCAACCAGATTCAGCCCAGCTTCACCACAAAAACCCTAAGTCAACTGTCTTTTTTGAGGATGGCTCAAAGCTTTACCACTCAAATGGGCATGTTAAACGAAATGATTAGCAATATATTGCCAAAACTGCCGTCATTTGCCCAGGCTTTTAATTGTTCACATTTAAAAAGGATGACAACAAGATAATTACAGGGTAAAATTGTAAGTTCTACACTCTGTTACATCATTCATCAAAAATAACTGGTTGCGTAATTAAATAAACTTTAATTAACCCAGTAAAGAACGCTATGTTATTACTTATTCTTACATTACTTATTTGATATTTTAAATATATTCACAGATGTTTATATTGCATTTTAAAAAATACGACAATGAGTATAAACAGAGGTCGATGACCCTCTTTGCAACGCCGTTCTTATCACCGGCTTAACACCGCATTTTGATGGAGTACAATCCTTATTTGAAATTGTTGGGTCAACGATAAGAAGTACAGACTTGCGGGCAGAGGTCCAACTGCTTATTTGCACACTCAATTTGAGGCATTTGCCATGATTTAATTAATTGGCAGACCGTGTTCGAGGGCCACTTGCAGACTCAATGCTGGAGCAAATAATGTAAATCAGAAGAGTTGAGCTCAAGTGCTCGATGAGAGGGTTTTGGAAAGGGGATGTCGGGGTTCCTCTGCAATCGATTTAAATGGTATTGGAATCAACTGAAGCGGATTAAACATGGTGGCGAACTAATTGTGCAGAAACCAAGTTAAGCTAGCCTCCGCTCTCTTGGAGCATAATAAGTAGAAGAGTTCCATAACGAAATATAGATGTTCTCGAGACCATTTAAACATAGTTTAAACTATCACGTACTTAAGATATTTAGTTAAGGGTAAAGTAAAAATTTATTTAAATATAATAAGTATTAAGTATTTGTGGTGTAATTAACGTAAACGCGAATGGCTTAGTTTTACATGATTTTAAATATGATCCATATAAATATGACCCATATAAAACATAATAACTTTGGGAATTTACTATAATAATTTTGTTTTATTCTTTTTTGATTTTTTCTTAGGAACTAAGCAAATAGTGTAAAGTTGGGCATGATGTCCGCTCCCCTTGTTTGCTTTCTTCGTAGTCCAGGCCTATATATAGAAACCCTTCTGGGCAAGGGTATGCTATATAGCACAAATGAAACCAAATGCACGCGGCTTGGCAAGGCTTCAAGTGCCTCAACAAGTACAAGTGTTGTGTTCCAAAGGGGCCCGCGGGTAATATTTTCCATTTCCATTTAATTACGCGCCCAGTGGGAGGTGGGAAAATGTTGGTGCAGGGCGAAATGCTGGAGGGATCCTTGTGTCCTTTGTAGTTGCATTTAATTGTGTTTCGCCTGCGCCATTTCGCTACAATAAATTGTTGCTCGCCCTGACGTTTTGACGGGTTGACTTGACTCGCCCGCTAGTCAGTTTCCCATTTTCCATTTTCCATTTGCCAGTCGCACTCCTCATCCGCTCCGCCTTCCTGTGGGGCCCTCTTCCTGCTCGGCGGCTTCCACTTTTCTGGTTGGGCTTGAAGTTGCCTGACCCAAAAACACATTTCATTTCAATGTATCCTTTACTTTCACTCATCCGCACACATAGGAAGCGGAGGCAAAAGGAGGCGGTAGCTCCGTGTCACACTTTGGCATGCAGCGCAAGGCTCTTGCCGCTTCAATTGTTTCTTGTGGACCCATTTTATCTCGCTGATGCAGTCCAGGATAGGCGGGATTTCTTTATTTGAGTCAAGCCCCCGCCCAAGTGCTCGAGTGCCGTCGTGTGTGTGCGAGCCCATTCAGCCTGCAATCAACACAACGCATCCTGCAATTATCAACATCAGTCGCCTTCGTCGAGGCCCCTCCATTAACCCTTTGACGGGCATCGGCCTCGAAAGACACCATCTGAAAAAAACCTTTTAAATCGCTTGAGGTTAAAGGTTTTCAAGCTGTTATTGAACCTGTTTCAAAGGCTTATGTTTAGCAAAAATAGGTTTAGTTTTTGGGCGGTATGATTATTTGTTAACCGTTTTAATTAATCCCAAATGCAGTTGAACATTTGTGCAGGCACTTCGTAATATAACTAACATTTTGCTAGCGAACTCGCACAACAACTTTTGTTTTTCATAGTTAACGTATAACCACTTTGGAATTATAAATCAACGACAAGGAGATTTAGATTGTCTAAGCCAAAATGATTACATCTTGTTAAAAATCAATTTGCAAAATTCCTAGCGATCAGTCAAAATAGGATTACTTTGGCAAAATATTGTTGATATTTGTTGTCCCGGACACCAAGTAAAGGTTAAACTGGATTCCGTTAAAGTAAACACCGCTGCGGCTGTCGTGGAGTCAAGTGGTTACTCCACTTTATGCATCCTTAATTGCTCGACTGGCAGGTGGGACACGAGCACACGTCCACGTCCTGTTCCCGTGACACTGATTCGCTCGGCCCAAGAGGTGAGTTGATGGGGAGCCCGGGGAAAGGGTGGGAAAACCCAAGGCGAAGAAAACTGGCCCACTTTAGCCCACGGCATGCCCAAGTGGAACGATTTGTCGCCTTGATAAAGTCAACACGATTTGCATATGTTTGAATTTCACTTGTCTCGTGATATTAATGACAAACTTAAATATGGTTAGGGATGCGGGTGGATTATACTCAAGTCTTCAGATCGATTTTTAAAATAAAAAAAGTATTGTACAACATTTTTATATTAACATCAAAGCTTTAAATAATAATAAACATAACAATAAAGCATACTTTTATGCGTTGTTAATCATATGAGTGAAATGTGTTTTAATCTTTCAAATATCGATTCCGAGGCATACCACCTTTTTTTATAATATCTTTTTAGAAACATTAATTTTTAAATGCTCAGATTTATCAAGGGTCAAGACAATCCGACTAAAAATTTGTGCTTAATTTTGTTAGTAAGGATTTTGACAAAGAATTCTTTGTTGGCAAACACGAGTTATGTGTTGATTATACTGTTATTACTTCCCCTTCTCCCTGTTACCAAAAAAAAGGCCAGAATTTATATTCCCGACAAACCCTTTAAGTCGCATTACCACAATCGATGGCCCCAGGGGATCATTTTGCCGGCATCGCCAGACTCCGGGCAAGCGTAAATATTTCAGAAAATCGGCGACAGTTTAAAGAGCACTCGGGAACATTTGTGCCACCAACCACCGACCGCCGACCTCCCGCCAACCTGTCTATTATACGATGGCCTCCATGCCAGTCGGAGCAGCAGCCCGCCGGAGCCGGTGGACATCTGTCAAGGCGGAAAAATCCGCTAACTTGGCTGCCGGCGCAAAGGAAATGCAAAAACATCTCGTAAATGGAGACGGGGGCTGTCGAGAGATGAGGGTTGGATGTTGGATGTTGGATGCTGGATGCTGACATTCATTTACTTTGCCCCTGGCCAACGGCGCGTATGAGTAACGCTGTAAGTAAGCTGCAAGACGAGGCATTTTTAATGCTTTTGTTTTGCATTCGGTGTAATTAAGAAAACAACTTGATGCATAAATCCCAGAGGGGCGAACCAAAATTGGCAGGCAAATGGAATTTGAATTGCGTTGAGCGTCGGATTATGCACAAGTGCAATTATGCACTTTTCCACCCCTTTGATCATTTATGGTGCCCCAGGCAATTGCAATCGCAGATGTGTTCAGGTGGCGTTCAAGGTTCAACGAGACTTACCAAAGGTGACACCATTCGTCTGCTTTTCCTTATCCTTGTCCTTATCCTTTTCGCACTTTTCGCCGCCCAATGGCTCCAGCTCGATGCCATCGGTGGTGGCCACTTTGTAATCGCGCTTCGACATATTGCCACAGCAGAAGCCACAACATAACATTCGGCCAATTTTGTAGGCTTGTGGTTTAAGTGGTGCCGTCTTGGATTCTTTGCCACGGGGCACGATTCGGTTTTCTGGGTAGTATATGGGTTTGACTGATCCTGGCACGAAGGGGCAGGATTGGGAGTGTGGGTGCGGGGTTAAGCCACTTCTCTTTTGGCTCCTTCTCTAGCGATATGTTTCTCCAAAAAGTGGTCGGTACAAAAAGGTTATTCTTCGAGTGTAAACGGGTATGTAGAAGACTAGAAAGGTCGGTGAGTACAGTTGATTGTTGTGTTTGATTTCGTTTTTCGGTCAAAAATTGGTCCAGTTCCTGGTGTGAATGTCCTTCTGCAAGTAAAAGAATTTATATATATTTTAATAGATGTCTTGAGTCAGCAGTAAGGACACTTATACGAAATACATTTTATTCATCTAAACAAAAGTTTAGTAGGCGCTTATGAATTTTATTAAATATATCATTTATGTTACAAAGCCTTTAAATTGTAAAAAAACAACATCAGATTTTATTGATTTTTCAAAAAAGCATTGCATCAAAAAGTTTTTCATTTATCAAGAAACTTTACTTATAAAAAAAGTTTCTTCAATATAGTTTAATGAAACTTATCTATGTCAGCAAACAATGGGTATTTTCACATACCAAGGATTTCGTTCCACACTCCACTTGGCTGCACACAAATTAATGTGAAATGGGAGCAAACATATTTGTTTGAAATATTGCCAGCATTCAGCATACTTCGACTTATTGTTAGGCTGCAACTTCCGGTGCCGGCTAAGAAAAACCATAAAGTAGAGCAGGTGAAAGGGGAAGGTGGTACCTGCAACTGATGTCGCCACTAGTGGGCGGGTGTCGCTGCCAGGACATTGTTGTGCCAGGCAAACAAAACGAAACTTTAATAAAAGCCCTCGCACTGCACTCCAGACCGCCCCGCCACTGCACTCCAGTGTCCTTTGTGGCCCAGCAAAAAGGAGTAATAGAAGAAAAAGGCGGGCTGCAACAATGACAATGTCGTGGGCTAAAAAGCATTCGATAGCCTTAGGGCCACGAATGCAAATGCACATCAAATGTGAGCTGTCCCAGAGGTGGGCGGAAGCTTGGGGTGACTTCTTGCTGAGTCGACAGTAATTGCAAGAGGCATCCACCGGGCACAAAGCAACCGAAGGAACCGCCTGGTCAGGGACTTCCCATTGGTCTCCCAGCGGGAAAGTATCGAAGAGGTGCGCCAAAGCAGTTCAATGCACGAGAACACTTAGAAAAATGACTCTTAATTTCGCAGTGCTCTTGAAATCATCAATTTGTACATAAGTTTATTGTGAAAAAATATATGCTTGTACCAAGATTTTACCTTAAATTTATAAGCTAAATTATACAATATCATAATGTCATAACATAAAACCGATTTGATGCTTGAGTTCCACTGTAATTGTTTAATAATCACTCATAATTTTCTTTTTAATGTTAAAGTAAATGTTTGCAGCTTCCATTTGGGATAAAATGAAACCCTAATTAAAAATGTTAAAAAACTTAGCTCTCAAAGCAAGAGATATGTACACTTAAAACAAAAAAGAACCGAGTTTTTAAATACAACATTTGAATTTAACAAATACTAAAACTCGACTTAAGATATACCTAAGATATACATTGAACTAGAACTGTTTTCTTAGAGTGTAGCTTTCTTATGAGAGGACTGAGGATTAGGACCCAGCACTAGACCCAGTTAAATCGAGCAGGGAAAACGCGGATGCGGATGCGGATGCGAATGCGAATGCGGATCCGGAGACCGAGTGATGGCCACTCCATTTGATGGGGCGGCACTTGAAACAAAAGTCGAGGCGGGGCAGGGCAATTGTGTTTGCTGTTGGTAAAACACACAGCGTAATAAAGAACTATAGGAAGGGCGAAGTGCGAGCTGGTAAATGGGAGCTGGACGGGCCGTAAACCTTTCAGCCATTTGAAGCACTTGTAACCGGCGCTGCCCACAAACGCTCCTACCATTAGCAAATTCTCCATTCCGAGGGCTGAGCCAACTCAAAAATAAACATGGCGCAACAAAGCAAAGCACAAAGGACGAAAAACAAAAGGCAAAAGAGCCAAAATGAATAGAGCAAACAAAGAAATACATATGTAAACCGAAGGAAACTAAAGCACCGATTTTTCTATACCCTAAATTTTACGACAGCAACAACTGTATAACTGGGAAAAATATAAAATGAAGGAAAATTATGTTCATTGTTTTACTTTGGCTATTAGAAAACTATGTTTTCAATTGAACTTTTACAAGTGACTCACAAAAGTTTCATTACATGGTTAATTTAATTTTTGTTCAATCACATGAATTTGATATTAAAAATTTGCTCAATCATAAATTATACATAGTACATAATAAAAAAATAGCAAGCAATACGACTTAGCTTAGATGGTATCCTGTTCACTTTACGGTATAAGCAAATGAAAAGTTTGACGAAATATACATATATAACGTGTAATTGTACTTAAACTTATTGGGAAGTAAATTCTTCATAATAAACTAAATTTCGTTGATGCATACTTATAATAAAACCTAAAAATAAGTATAAAAGGTATTTGTCAAAATTTACAATCTAAGCCATTCATATTTTTGGTGTATAGACGTTAAGTATTTAATTAATTGCATTAATATTTTAAAATTTAACTAATAAAATATCTGGAAAACGTTATAAAAACCCCTAAGTTCAAATAAATGAATTTCAAAACCGTTTTTATCTACAAAAATAATTTTTGGCAGAAGATGTTTCCTGTTCCTACACACCGACCAAGCCAACCGAAATTAAAGAGTATCCCGGACAGGGGAAAGTTTGCTTGTTGGCCTGGCCATAAAGTGGTCGGAATTAATGGCAAAATGGCGTCAGTTTGTTTTGTGATTTCTTTTTTGCTTGTTGCGCCCGTTGCATATAAAGCAGCCGAAAAGAAGTGGCCAGAGAAAAACTCTCGGACATACTGTGTACATATCCTGACCAAAAGGACACTGCAGCCAAAAATAGCCAACCAGGTGTGTGTGTGTGAGTGTTGCGTATGCGACACGTGGGCAAATTGTGCCCCAATGTGTCGTTTGTTACGTTACTTCCGGTCTGTCGCACGGCGCTAAATATAAATAAAAATGGCCAAGCGGATTTTTTTTATGACATTCCCCATTCAGCTCATCTGCCCCCCTTTCAAGCAGCTGCATTAATGCAGCTTTTGTAGCAAGCTTTTAGGTGAATCTGGCTTTTTTAATTTCGACCATATGCAAGGCGAACTGAAGGTCATTTGGGTGGGTGGACGCTGTGGGTGGTGGGGTAGAAGAAGGGTGCACACATTCGATTGCTGACTGAAGCAATCAGTGCTCAATCGAGAGCCCTCAGAGTCCCATTTAAAGCAAGTCCAGCACCAAGGCCATTAGGTTGGGTGGCTATTTGCGGGGTGGCACTACGCACTGGACAGCGTTTTTGCAGGTGTCACGTTTTATTTTTAGCACCAGGGTGGGCCAACATAGGTCTGTGCGATCTTCCAGCTCATAAGCAGGACATAGCTTCAATATTTAATGCACACAATCAGTCTGAATAATTGATGGACACATGTACAGCCGGAAGGAGTAGGCTGTGTGCATGTGTACTGTTGGTTTTGGTGTCTGGCGCACGGCAATTAACTTGTTTAAGCCACAAGGTAAACATGACAAACACATTTGTCAGAGTCAGTCGTCAGTGTCAATGCCAGCGGATGGTTAAATGGTCGAGATGGTTGGATGGGATGGTATGAAGAAATACCTCCGAGGACTCGGGATGTCTATACAATGCAGCTATATAAACAACACAATTGAGAGCATGATTTACCTAGAGGTGGTGATTGAAGTCACGAGTGTCCTTCCGTTTTTGGGCGCCAAATAGAGAAGCACTTTTTGTATACTATATATTATGAGTTGGTTGACGTTTCACTTGATTATTCCTTTCGACACAAAAACACACAACGGACGGCGGATTCGGGGTCAAACAAATTGGAAAACAAACGGAGTTCAATATCAATGAGTTTCATGCGATTGAAAAATACTTTTTGATTTTTCTTTGTTATATAGAAGAAGCGCGAATTAAATGCTTCCATGAAGCACGAAGGATAAACTCTTTCTGAGTGAAAAGCAGACGAATGGAGGAAATTTCCTTCAAATGGCGAGAGCTTTTCCCAACACAGAGCTTTCCACTCTGTCTTGACAGAGAGAGAGAGGGAAAGAGAGAGAGATTATTATCCTGCTGTGTCAGAATTTGTGCAGTGAAATTCCAAGGGAAACTGCACAAGGATAACGAAGAGAGAAATCGCCACGAGAGCGCAGAAAAGCCGGTGGAAGGAGGCATCTATTCCACCCACCCCACACTCTCAACGCCACCCAAAACCACCCCCCGCAAATGGGAAAACTCCACAGCAGCATCCGCTCTCGTCCTGTCAATATAAACAACCATTTGGGATCTGTTTCTAGCTTTGTGTGAGTGCGCTATATGCAAGATAAACAAAATATTAGGGGTGTATAATGAACGCTCGAGGGTTTTTGGAAGTTGCCCGCTGCTCTACTTGGTGTCAGAGCGCAGCAGGCACGCCGAATTTCGAATACTCTTGTTTAATGTATAGGTTTAAGGTTTATCATCTCTTTCTAACAGTAGTAGTTGCTACGAAATCTGAAGAGCGAAAGTATACAAAATTGGCGGAGATTTAACTTAGTTTTTAATAGAACATTCTTACATGAACAAATTCTTAGTCTGAAGCGCGAATTTACTTTATGCTAAAACTTGTAATTTTATAAATCATTTATCGCTTTCTTAAACTATATGATCCTCTTAAATACACAAAAGATAGAATAACTACGCTTAATACATTTATACACAGAACGGTTAACATAATTATAACTGAAATGTCCTATCTTGCACAGCAATGAGCGAACAAAGCAACAATATATATAAATATTTTACAGTCTTTTGAACTTAACAATCTTACTTAAAATTAAGACTTAATTTGTAGATCAATCAGTTCATTGCCCTCCATATCCTGGTTTTTCGGAGTATCCTTCGGATCCAAGAGTTCGCCATCGAAACTATAAGGAATTTAATAAAACAGCTGTACATTCGTAAGCTCTTAATACTTACAATAATTTAATGAGGCGAGCTTCGCAGTTTAGCTCTTCAGCACACTTGATGTATAACATTTTAAATGAGTCTTTTTTCTTCATAGGTATCACCATAGGATGTTTCCATTTATCAGCTTGAACTTTAACTTGAAACTGTTTGGGTTTACTGCTTAGAGCTTGTGGATTGTTGTCGTCTTTGGTAGTCAACTTTTTGTTATTATTATTGGACTTTGTCGCATGGCCACCTGAAAGGTAGGTGTTTAATTACAAATCTAAATGCTGTTTTGAATTGAGGACACCTACTGAGTGTATGAAAGGGTTTGAGACCTATGCTATGTGGCGTGTCGTCGGGTCCTATGAAATTGTAGTACATATCTACAGATATGTCATTCTCATCCACACCGTTGCGTTCTGCCACTTCCTTGAACATGTGCTTGAACTTTTGGTGCTGCCGCAGTTTGTAAATCTGAATTTCGCCAGCCCTGAAACAACATTTAATTGGTTACTAATTTAGGGAGCCAAGTAACATAAGTACTTACCAAGACAGAGCTACTTCTATGGTGGGGTTATCATTGTCAAAGATGTTTGCCTCGTCCACAAAAGCTGGGGCTTCTGCTTCATCTTCCGAGTCCAGACTAACAAAGCCCTCTACTCGCGGAGCTACCGCCGATACCAGATCAATACTGTCCACCACTTTGGAGCGGGCTGCTATTTCAGCCATCGTCTGACGTCTACTGTTCTTTAGGTTGTAGCTCTGAATGATGCATGCTATGTAAATACGCAATATCTCTATTTGACACCCTAAACTTACGGCCACAATGCTGTCTAAGGAGGAGACCACAGAGGCGGATGCAGCTTCCACGTCAATCACTGCAGGTGATGGTGCCTTTTTCCTGCCTCGCTTTGTGGATTTCTTCTTGGCGGGCACCATCACATTGACCGAAACAGGAGGGGGCTGTTTCTCCAGCTTGCTGAGCGAGGATCGAGTGCGTCTGGCCACAGGACCTACGACACTTTCTTCGGCTTGCTCCGGCTTCTGGGCATCTCCTGCTTGGGCACATTTCTGCTCCATCTCTAGGATCAACTTTGACACGGGGGACAGGGCTCGCTCAGGGGACTCCTTTTCCGCCTTTTCATCCTTTTCCGTTTCAGCCTGACTTTGTTTGTTTTGTTTTGGTGGCGAAGCACCCTCTTCATCTGTCTGCGGCTTTTCCCGGGGCGCTGCTGGTGGCTTTCTTTTGCTGGTCCTACCCGTTTTCTTAGGACTGGCTTCTATGAAATCGTAGTCCACCTCCTTGGAAAAGGAATCGTTGCCGGGATTGTAGGAATCCTTAGGCAAAGCTGGCAAAGAAATTTAGAATGAACAGAGACAGCTGGAGATTTGCGGTTTAAAAATTACCTATTACTGGAGCCCGCTTGCGGACAGCACTGAATATATCGCAATCGTCGTCGGACATATTGCACAATCAGAACTATAATTTGGTAATTGTAGTTACATATAAAAAAACGCGCCAAATGCAGATTAAAAAGAACACAAAAAGACGCCAACTTAAATCATCTGGGCAACGGACTATCGATATACGATAACGATAACGGCTTAGATAGCCAACGTTAACCAAAACCGCGACCAAAACTATCGTAAATTTTGAAAATGGTAAAAAGCTGGGATGGGTAATATTTTTCCATGAACAAAATTAAAAATTTTATGGAAAATGTTAATAATTTATATTGTGATTTTTAGTTTTTCAACTGTTTTGTGAGCCTACTGCTTTGCCACGTTGAGCAACTCTGGCTGCCAGCTGTTCGCCCAGTGTTGACAAACGCCACGCCGACAAAAGCAAATCTCATTTCGTCTCTGAAAAGTGCAAATAAATTGTGACTAGATCGTAATGCAAGTGAAAATAACTTAAAGCAAACGCCTCGCGACAGGAGGCTATATCGCGTGTTTGTGTGCGAGTGCCTGCGTCTCTGTGTGTGCTTTTGTTTACCTGGTTTGTCCAAATAAAAACCATAAACCATAAGTAACAAGTAAACTGGAAAAGTCGACAAAGTCTGCCTGCGTGCCATTTTTTCTGATTTTGTTTCGTGTGGAAAATCTAGAGACGACGCGATGGCCTCCACCAGCAATCTGGTGGATGTGGTGCGCCACTACCAGCGCAGCATTGAGAAGCATGGCGAGGATGAACAGCGGGTGAGCTAATGGTCCTCGTCCCCCTCCTTCTGCAATTCTGCCTGGCTGCTAATTCCCTGCTTCCAGTTTTTTACAGGCAGCCCCTTTTCCTTCAACTCACTTTGTTACCATTTCTCAGCCTCATTTTCCGCCCTACTCGACATATCTTCCTTATCTTTACCTTACTTAACCTTGTGAAATTTGCACATAGACCAAGGTCACTTTTCTCGACTTCAACTTGCTCTTCTATTTCGCTGACCTTTCACCCTCTCACGTTCACGTTTGCACCTGCCTAAGCTGGCTAATCACCTTCGTTATCTACCTGCTCTCCCCAAAACAAACAGCTGCTGCACTGCATCACCAAGCTATTCAATCTGCCCATCAAATTCGAGCACCTGCAGGAGACGGGAATTGGCAAGACGGTGAATGCCCTGCGCAAGTTCAATGGCGAAGTGGGCGTGGCGGCCAAGACACTGGTTTCCAAGTGGAAGGCCATGGTGGCCGCCGAGGAGGAGCCTTCGATCGCCGCCACTCCCACGGCTAGCCACAATGAAGAGGACTCGGGCAAGTCCAAGTCCAGCGACGAGGATCCCGACCAGGAGAACAAGGGCAGCAATTCATCCAGCGGCGAGGATCTGAACACCAACAACAAGCACAAGACAAAGCCCTCCAAGAGCTCCAGGCACGAGCGTAGCAGCAGCAGTAAGAGTCACTCCAAGAGCAAGTCGGATTCGCATAAGAAGCACAAGTGCAGTCGCCACGACAAGTCCAAGGATAAGGAGAAGGATAAGGAGGGGCACAAGGAGGCCAAAGAGCACAGAGACAAGAAGACCAATGGCGAGCACAAGTCGAGGGATGCCAGCAAATCCAGCAGCAGTCACAAGTGCAGTAAAGCCGAGGGTCACAAGAGTGAGCACGGCAAGAGCAAGCATGATAAGGTATGTTCCAATCTAGATCACTGCAAACTGAAATCTTCATCAGGTTTTGCATTGCAGGACAAGTGCTCGCACAGCGAACATAAGGCAGCCAAAGACAAGTCGAGCAAACACAAGTCATCCTCCTCCAAGTCGTCCAAGCGCTCCCGCAGCCCACAACGACCCGAGGAGGAGGTCCAGAAGGCCAAGATACCAAAAACTAAACCGAAATCAGAGGAAGACTCCGCCGACGGCTTTGACTCCAGCATGGGCGCCAACTTCGACGATGTTCTTGGCCTGCTTAACATGCCCATGAGCAGCAAAAAGAGTAATAGCAGCAACAAGAGCAAGGTCACCTCCAAGCCGGCAACAGCCCCATCCTCGTCAGCTTTATCGACACCTTCGGCGACTGGATCATCTGCATCCAGAGAGACCTTTGCCATCAGCAGCCGACCGACCTCAACCAAAGTAATTAGTTCACATTACCCACAAAGATGTGGTTAAAAAACAAATCCTTTTAGAAGCCCGAGCTGCTTGCGTCCACAGCCAAGCTGGAACCATTGGACCCAAACATTGCACTGGAACTGCCCACAATTTCTAACAATTACAAGCCCTTGCCGCTGAATCAGACAATTATGGACGTGGTCTTTAATCAGGGCGGTTCACAGAAGGCCCAGGCTGCACGTCACTTTAATGAGTCGGAAGCCCTGGCTCAAGGCATCTCCTCGAAAACTATGCGGTAGGTTTATACCTTTCTATTTTTTTTAAAGAGAAACTTGCAATGTTTTTTTCCTTTAGCACCAAGATCTATTCAGGCGTGAGAACTGGTCAAATCCTGCAGGTCCCTTCGCTTTTTGATCTGTGCACGCGCGTGCTCCAAAAGAACATCGATGGTAAGAGCTCCCTAACCAGATTTCAGCTAGACTTGTTAAATAAATAGTAATAATAATGTTAAAAGATAACAGTTACTAAACAACTTTAATTAAGTTAAAAAATAACTAACTACATTTTTTAAACCAAAAAATGTATGAATTTTATTTACATAAATATTTTATTTATTTTGCATTATTTTGTAACAATGTAAGACTGCATAATTGTGAATAGAGCATAGGGATTAACCATCTACATCCCTTCTCTTTCTCCAGCTCTGGAGTACACCGGTGGCGTGCCCTTTGAGGTCCTTCGCCCTGTTTTGGAACGCGCCACACCCCAGCAGCTGTTGAATTTCGAGGAGTACAATCCTTACTTGATGGACGACAGCGACATCCTATGGCAGATGCACGTCCAGCGTCACTGTCGCAGTCAGCGACGTGAGGAGATGGAAACGTGGCGCGAGATGTTCCTGGTAGGAATCACAGTATTTCTCAGATATTCCCCCATCTAAGCTTACACTCCATTTTCCTTGTAGCGCTGCCAAGAAGAGAAGGATCGCAAGCTAAGTATCCTGGCCGAGAGCATCAAGGCATCGCAGAAGATCAGCGAGGCACCTGTGCGCAAGACTCAGCTGGCCTTTGTGGATTCGATGGTAAAGCCGCCGCGCAGTGTGCAGCGCAAGCAGGAGCAATACGGAACCAAGGGCAAGCTCATCGCGACTCCAGCCGCCCGAGTGGCCGCCTTGTCCAGCGTGACGCCGAATGCCGCCAAGGTTGGCGATGCCCGTCTGCGTGTTCTGTCCGCCGGACGCGACGCGGCCCAAGTGGGTGAGTTTCATTTCTCTTAGTTCCCTAGTCATTTACTTTAAAATTTCATGATTACTATTAACCTATTATATGGTTTCTTGTCCAACAGGTGCGGGTCCGTCGCGATCTAAGAAAGCTCCACTAATGGCCAAGACTTTGCAATTCATGCGTGGACGTCACAAACGATAGATGCGTTTACCTGTTATAGCCACAATCTTATACTCAAAATTGTTCAGCGACAACTAAAGCAGCAGCAGGAGCAGCAAGCTAGATCCACAAGGCGTTCACAGTAGGATTACCTCATAACTGATTGCGCAGAGACTTTCAGTTCTGTAAAATGAGACACTGTGATACTAAACCTTTTTGCTACCCAGTGCGCCAGGGAATCCGACTGCTGCTGCTGTATAACGCGTACCACTTTCATGCTATTTATTATTTATTCATGATCTGCCCCATATTCATTATACTGTACTAGTAACTAAGTGTCAGCCAACCGGTTAACGACTGTAGGTCGAATAAGATAACGTTTTTGTTGCATCCCACTGGATCGACAATGAGCTCAGATAATTGATTTCCGGGTTGGATTATTTTCAGGTTAATAGTTGTTCGATTGGTCAATTATACGTAATTTAAGATCAGTATCGACTGATCACTTCACGTTTAGTTTTAAGCTAAGTTCAATGTTCTTTGTCCCAAAGGGCTGTGCGACTGTCCAAAATCATAGAGGTTCCAAGCAAATCAATTGTATATAATGTTACACAAAAACTTAAACCCAATCCTATATCAAATTACGTAAATTATTGAAGTACAGTTAAATGTCTTTAAATGCATCGCTAATCCAATCAAAATAATATTTTCGTACTTGTATTTAGGTTTATTTAATTATGAAAATTTTTGATTATTGGGTTAAATGTTCTTATTTATATTAAAAAAATACATTTACTTCAACGTCTTAATTGTTATCATTCTAGTTTATTTTGTAAAAACAAATTTTAGTTTTGAAATAGCTAAGTTGAATGTTGAAAGCTATAATACTCTTCATACGTTTAGTATTTACACATTTTATAACTTTTGTAAAAACAAGTCATTAACACTAAATCATATCGGCATTTTCAAATAGCTTCATTAACTGAGACCGGTAAGCGATGCAGGTAAGGGCCTTACACTGTTATACAAATCTTTTTATTCCACTAGTAAGCTACCGGAAAAAAAAACTACGAAGCTATGAAAGAGCAGACTCTTGTTGGAAAACATCACGGATTGTTAGAGAGAGGGAAATAATAATATGTATAGAGAAGAGTAAAGACAAGCAAACAAGTTGTTTCACACGATTGTAACAGTAATATTATACAGACTTATTACAAATAAATTATTTTCAAACATAAACCATTAGAAAGTGAAAATTCATTCGGTCCGCAGTTCAATCCGTTTAATTCAGGTGCCGATGCAGTGAAGCGTCTTGCTGCGCCCGTAAAAAACATCGACCAAACGCTGGCAGGAACTATTGAGTGTTAGCACACGATTCGTTGTAGCTGATGAGGAGCTCCCAGCACTGTTGTTGTCGCTGTCGGTTACAATAATTAAAATAAATCATTAACAACAAGTTCAGCGTTTTGTTCTCATAATTAGCTTACCCCATGGGCGCAAGTTTTTTGATGTCCCACAATCGCAAGGTGCCATCAGTGCAGGCCGTGGCTAGATGCTGATTGTGCGTGCTCCAGGAGAGGGAACTAATGCTCGCCGAGTGATCCTTGAGCTCAGCCAGCTGTGCTCCGGCGGCTAGATCGAAGATGCGCACCTTGGTCTCCTCTCCGGCGGCGGCCAACATCTTTCCATCCGGACTGAAGGCCAGCTGGGTCACCGCCTGGCGGCAGTCCGCAAAGACGCGCATCAGTTTGCCGCTTGTCGCACACCACAGGCGCACTGAGTGATCCGCCGAGCCGGTGGCTATGTAGTTACCATTCGGGTGGAAGGAAACGCACTGGGGGAGGGGAATTATTTATAAACATTAGAAAAACTCACACTTTCCTTCTACTTTTTTGACCTACCTCAACGTCCTGCGTATGTCCGGCATATATGATCAGCGCATGTTCCTTCTCCAGCGACCAGAGGCGTGCACTCAGATCCTTGGACCCCGTCACCACGTACTGGCCCACTGGACTCTCGTCCAAGCACCAGATCGGGTAGTTGTGACTTCTGTATATGGCGGCGCAGTGCAGGTTGTGCGCCCGCCAGCACCGCATGGTGGCGTCCTTGGACACACTGTACATGAGCGGGTAGTGGGCGGAGAAACGCACGTCAGTGACGCCTCGCGTGTGGCCTCGCAGCTGCAGACCACCAAATTCGTTACTGTGCAAGGAAAAGGATATCGCTAGAATAATTTGCCTAATTTAAAATACTGCAATTGACTTACTAGGAGTTGTCGGCATATTTGCCGTGACGCGCTCTGCTGCGATCCCTACGCTCTTCCTCAGAGCACTTGACATCCTCTTCGCTGCTGTCCTCCTCCTCCTCCTGATCCACGCAGTTGTTTAGCTCCCAGGGACACTGCGTTTGCGGATAGCGTCTGTAGAAGCTCCTGCCGCGGCAGCTGTTTTGGTTAAGCTGCCACAGCTGCACGGCAGAGTTGTCGAAACCGGCTAGCAGGTGGCACTCACTGGGATCCATGTGGGCGGAGGTGAGACCACGGGAGCGCTCGCTGATCTTAATAAATTGTGGCAGCTCCACCTGGGCCTTGAGTATCTGTTCTGTGGCCGTCTTGAGGGTGTCCAAGCAGACGCCTATATTCAGTTGGGACTGAATAGGATCCGCGGATTCATCCGCATCGATTTCCTGCTTGATGTCGATTTCCAGTTTTATATTTGGCTCCTCAGCGGGTCGTTTTCTGTTGGACTTTTCCGTCAAGGACTTTCCGGGCTTGATGTCTCCGCGGGTAGATACTATTGGTTTGGTTAGCACCTCCTCCTCCGCTTCCTCACCTTCCAGGTCGTCCGTCAAACCAAGCAGGTGATCCTCACTGAAGGATCGCTGCTCGTTCTCAACGATGTGCACATGCAGCCAAGTGTAAAGCAGGTTCATAATCAAAACATGGCCCCGCCGCTGTAGATAGCTGCATATCCTCTCCACCACCTGGGCCGTGGTGTGCAGTTCGTACTTCGAAGAGCGGAAGTGGGCCACTGTGTCGTCCGATTCGGCTGCCTCCAGTCGTGTATATCCGCTCAGTGTCTGCACCAGCCGCATAAAGTAGTCCAGCTCCGTGTCCCCAGTGTCCAGGGCTTCCCTGGCGAAGCGTATATGAAAGGTGGAGTCTGTGGCGGAGGTTGAGCAGCCGTTGATCTTGGTGGGCGGTGGTGCATCGTACAGGTCCACGGGTGCCACCAAATGGGCATATTTCCGGAGCAGTTCCACAGCGCCTCTGGGTTCGCGAGCCTTGAGCAGATCCAGATAGAAGTGGCACAACATGGGTCCATAGAAACGCTTCATCTCCAGACGCAGCGGTTCCGCCTGGGCCTCCACGAATTGCGAGAAGCGTCCAAACTGCTGGTCCACCGTGTGCTGATTGTTGTTGATCACCTGAACATTTGAGTAGGTGAAGCTATTTCCGCCATGCAAATCCGTGTCCAACATTTTGTTTACCGCGAATTGCTGTTTATTTTGCAGCAGTAGGAAGTCCGAACGGCGAAATCGTTCGTTGCTCTGTGGGATCAAGTGAATGCAGCGATTAAGAAGCACAAAGGAATAAGATTTGTGGAGATCCTTCACTCACCACGTAGTTTTTCTGCTTCAGCAATAGACCGACGGCGCAGCGCAGCAAATCGTTTTTCGACGAGGTCTTTTTGTTGCCCGCACTCGACTTGTTGTTGGTGTTGCTATTGCTGTTGCTGTAGACGGGCGACGCTGCGTGTGCGTGGGCGCTGGGCAAGCTCATGGTTGCGTGTTATCCTCCAAATCCGTCTCCGTATCCTGATCCCGTCATGCAGTGCGACCGATAGCAGCAGCGTCCGATTACAGTGCTGGGCACCGCCGGCGGATTGTTATCGATATTAACCGATTTGTAGCGGCTCCAACAGCTGTTCGTTGCCATTTGTTGTCCTCAGTGATGGCCGCCTTAGCGTTGGCAAAATGCCTTTGTTTTTAGCGGGAAAAAGGGGGAACGGGAGGAATTTTAGATGTTGATTGTCCTTTGGTGAATAAAATAAGAAGGTAATACAAGTTTGTCGTTGCGTATTATTACAAAATAAGTTATACACAGGTGAAATATTGGCTTTTTATTTGACTATACTGTTTAAAATCTGAATTCATACCATTTTCGAACTTAGAACTAAAAAAATGCAACATATGGGTTATTTGTTTATTTCTTTTGTAACACTTAAGTTGTACATTTTTGGTTCAGGGTAGTTTACTGGTTTGACTTTATTTAATTTGTAAGGCGAACTTTTACACATAGCTTTTTCTATAATTTTTCCGTTGCAATGATTTAGCTACTTTAATCAGCAGTTGGCATCTCCGATGGACTTCAGCTGCTTGTTGTTATTGTTTCCTCGCCCGCTATTGACAATTTCTTGTGTTTTCGCTGGTGTGTTTCAGTTCGAGTTTTAGCCTGATATAAAACGGTACCTTTTTAAAGCGAGCAATTATGGGCAGTACGACAAAGTTTGTTAACGAATTCTGTGATATTATCGACTCCTATGGCGGGCGAGATAAGGTAAATAAAACGCACCTCCAAATTACCAAGTAAATTCGCAATTAATTTGCCGCACACCTGTTTGTTTACGTTTATCAACGAGTGATTTTCCAAACATGCTTAAAATTTCAAAAAATGCATCGTGGCATATTGACGGGTTGTTTTGGACTGGTTCATTGGGAGGCTCGATCGAAATTGAAAGCCAACCAACAGGTTTTCACGGTGTTGTTGCATACTGAAGTTGGCATTGGAACTGGGGGTGTTGGACAAGGAAGTCTCGGCCGATTGGACCTTGCCTTACTTCTTTCGCATTCGCAATGGATTTCTTCGCTTCTCGCTTATCAGTCGCGGTTTGGCGGCGATCAAGTCAAGATAATGCTGAATACTATAGCCGGCAAACCCTTAACCCGCTGCCAACTTAAGCGGATAATACGTTGCGAACGAAAGGTTTGTTTGGTAAACACATCGTCTAGCACGCGATCAACTAGGAAACACCCAATTCCATTTAAGGAAAAGTTATATACCCTTGCATGGGTTATTAAAATTTAACTGGGACGAATGGGTTTTAAAAAGGTTAATATTCATTTAAAACTTGTTCTTGACCAAAGTGTTTTTAGACCTGATATATTTTTATTTGATTTGTTTAGTTTAAGTGATAATAATATGAAATTATCTTACAAATCCCGCATCCTAAAGAAATATTTGATCATTTGTCATATTTATTAGTCACTTATTGTTTTCTTTTTTTGTCAACTACAAATTTATAAAAGATTTACTGTGTTTCCATGGAAATGTGTAATAAGGGCATATACGATTTCGGTATCCGAAATAAGTTTTCCTGGCTCATTCATTACTTATTCATTGATGGCAAATCAAACAAAATGGACTATTAATGAGCAAACAACGGAACCAACCAAAACCCGTCCTGGCATTAAAATCAACAGGACAACTCGCACTCCCCTGCCAGCCATTAAACGAGATGATTGTGGCATTCGTTGTGTTCTTTTTATCACTGATAGTATTTTATCTGTTTGTGACAACCAAGCAATTCCACAAATTGCAAGGCTGAGTGGCGATTGGGGTCAGGTAAAGGTAAACAGAGATGTAAGCTCTCTTGATAAAACAAACACTCGGCTTAACTTAATGCGCAGAACCTGTAAAAAATATTGCACTGAGTAAATATCAATTTAAATAACTGATTTTTTCGATTGCTCAGGTGATGAAGGCACTGTGCTACAGTGCCAAACTGGTGGCTGGATACCATGCCAAACGAAATCCGGATCTGGCCAAGCGATACGCCACCGCCAGCTCCAAGATCTCGGGTGCGAGAGCCACCCTGCGCCTTATCGACGACATTCCCATGATCCAGTATGCTTTGGAGTATGGCTTGGGTGAAAATGAACCCGACCGCATAATGGCTGTACTGGGAGTTACGGCCAACATAGTGGACCTACTTTATTACCCAATCGAGAAAGTATGCTGGCTGGCCGAGCACAAGATTGTGGATGTGAAGAATGCTGACAGCTGGGACAATGTGAACTCCATATTCTGGGTTCTGTCGGTGTACCTCAACCTCATGAGGTAAGGAAAAGCCAGGAAAATGTACGGTCATTTTATCAATTTATCCTTAATTTTAATTTCAGGACGATGCGAAATTTTTCACTAAATCAGGACAAACTTAACCGCACCACCAATATAAACGAGTAAGTAATGGCGCATAAACTATAACCCCTTAAACCTCCAACTAAAGCATTTGAATCCACAGTTTGGATGTCAAAACCATGACCAAACACCGCTTGGAAATGGTGTCCATCGCTCGCATTTCCCTCGATTTTGTGCACGCCGTCAGTACGCTGCCCAAGGGATATTTGTGGGGCGGCAAGCTGTCCACATTCCAGGTGGGCGCCATTGGTACACTATCCGCCGGCCTGGGCATCTACCAGATCTTTGCCAAGAGAAGACTGAACAAGTAGTTGCGCCGTTGTCGTTGTCGTCGTCGTGTTTGCAATTTTTGTACTCGTATTTGTTGATCAGAATTTTAAGCTAGTCGATAAAAGTTTTTGTACGGCACTCGCATGTGTTTAGCCAGTAAGTCCTTTAAAGAAGCACAAAATACACGCTGAATAATGATAAAACAAGGATGGATGTTTGGTCTGTGTGTCCTTTATTATCTGTTACTTCTTTTATTGTGTTCTGTTAGATTCCGATACATGTAGTTCAGTATATATTTTGCTTATGCCCTTCATAGCCAGCAGAATGTTTAACTTAGTGTTCAGGCTGCTCTCGCTTCCATATATATTGTCATCCCCCTGGCGAGGGTTCATTACCAGAGTTATTCATATTATTTGTTGTTCACGCGTACGATTTGTCGGTTTAGCAGTCATTGTATACAATGTGTCTTAGGCATATTTAAAATACTCATATGTCTGATATTATACTTGTTATGCATGGTTTCACTTTAAATAGTTGGATTCATAGATTACATGAGGGACCTGATCAGCTGTTTGGGTTAAATCCCAGCCTCTGACTTTGGTTTTTTTTTGGTTAAAAATAACATTCTTTAGTAAATATATTCCCATTTTACATAATTTATTTGCTTGTTTGTGCCGCAAGCGCGTAAATATTAACAGATATTAGTTATTATATTTTTCTTTAGTTTGCTGTGCTTGACTGCTTCCATCGGTAAGCTCTTTAGATGTACGAATTATGAATAAAGTTGTTTATCGTTTTATTATAGCCCTTATATTTGCTGTTTAACTAACGTTGTTCATTAAAATTCTCAGTAATTTGATATAGATTTATTATGAGATTTGTTAATTTTCGATAATATACCTAGCTACAGGAGTTATATGCTTTTATTATTGTTAAGTATCTCCTCTTCCATTTTCATTGCGTATTCGATCAAAGTTACTCCTTCATTTACAAAAAAAAAAAGCCTCAAAAAGTTCCCAAAAAATGTTCATGCACTCAAAATATGTTCAACTTTGTTCCATTTGCTTTTGTAGTTGTGTGTCAATCGTGTTTATTATAACCATTATGCAATTTGAACTCTTGCTCATAACAATATATAATAATTATTAGTACATAAATAGGTATATATCTAAATTTGTATTTATTTATATTGCATGAACAGGGTCAGGAGATTAAAGGTGGCCTTCCAATTAAGTGCCCAATCTGTTCTTATTACAAGAAAACTGTGTATCCGTTTAAAATTCACTACAGTTTTCTTGAAAATAAAACAAGATAGGCCTTTCATGGAGGCCCCTAAAAACTACCATCTGTTCTAGGTATTTATATACCAATTATGTCTTGCATTATGTATATATATATATTTATGTGTATATATTTATTCTTATCGGAAGCTATTTAAAATGGCACTGCAGTAATTTTTGTTTATATTCCTATATAAGGTGGGAAAATCAATTAGTTGGGCCGCCAACTACCCCTCACGATGGAGGAAGCGCAGCGCCCTCTACTAAATATTCTTCTAAATCCTTCCTCTCCTCCTCTGCTATAACAGTATACGAAGTCGGGGCTCTTAACTCAATTAGGGATTCTGAAGAACCGCCTTTGGTTGACCCGCAAGTAATTATTAAAATATATGTAGGTGTATGTATATAGTTTATGTGGTATTTGATTATTGCATTAAAAGCTTAGTATTCCGTTCTGAATTATTATTATATATTCCTTGGTGTATATATAGGTTGTATAATAGTCTTTTTAAAAACCGTTCTTATTGCATTCTTGTTCTTATCGCTAGGCTTACTCTTAACTTTAACACATTTGCCGAGCAAATATTGTTGGTTTAAAATTCAATCTGCAAAGTTCTTGCTAATGTTCCCCCAAAATGTGTCTCACATGTTCGCTTGTGTCTTTGAATACAGTTGACAGTACAATCAGTAATACGATAGTAAAAATATCTGGTATAGGGTTTCGAATACGGGTAGTATTGAGTTAGTTTAGAGTACAGTATAGGTTAGTTAATGCTTGGTAGAGATATCGGCATAAGTAGAGATATTTCTTCGATAGAACTTCCTCATTGATCTGCACCTTAGCTGAGTTTAAAAATAATTACTCTGTATAGTGTAGAATGGCTTAAAAGTAGACGTATAGATAATCAGATGACTTGCGTCAGTAAAATATGTGTTTTTGTTTTTTAATATATGTATTTTTGGATTGTTATTTATGTTGTATTTTTGCCTATTTACGCTTTGCATATCTTCTTAATTATCTTTTTTTGTTTTTACTTTGCTAAAATTTAATATTATCGGTTTTGCGTGGGAAGCGTTCGATTTTGGTTCCTTTACATTTCGTTTAAACTTTATTTTGTGTGTTTGTTCACATATTGGATTTAATCTTTGATACATTTGTTTAATCTCCTTAACTTGCTTTTTCGTTTTGGTTTAACAGAAAATAAAAATTGTATTCTAAATAAATTGAAAAGCCAGTGTGGAAAGTTTAAAACTGTTTGCTTCACACATATCTGTGTTAATTTAAAATTCACGTTATGTTTGATTCTTAAGCCTGTAAAAGCGTTAAAAACGTTAAAGTAAAACTGTGTAACATACGATCGATACTGAGTCGCCAATTGATTCTTGCTGAAATAGCTTTAAAAAGTTTCATTTAAAAATCTCCCTGACTGGGCATTTTTTCACTTGTTTCGTTTGATTAATAAAAATATGGTAAATTTTATAGTTATTTAAAATTGTTTACGAATATGTACGCATGTATATTTGTGTGCTAGTGTAGGTATTTTAGTGTATGTGCATGTGAAATGTGAGCATGTTTTTATGCGAGCTAAAAACTCCCTTTGTTTCCAATGGATTTTAAACATTTTGCTGGTTTGATCGATAAAATAATGATTCCGCCTCCTCTCCAACCTAATAATTATTAAGGCTAAAAAATTAATTTAAAAAAGATACGTCCTTTGACCGTTCTCCCGTGAATTCGTCCAATGAGTGAGGTGAAATAAGGTATTTTCTTGCTTTTGCAATTGGAGCATTTATGTTTTCCTATAAAGGTAAGTCTTACGATTACTAATAATTCAGCTAAAGCACCATTTTATCTGTCTGTCTGTACAGTTTGTCTATCTTAGTTGTAAATTAGGGAAATACCCCCTTCATCCATAACTTTGGCCTTTAAAATATATGAGTTTTTTTTAGGTTAAGTATTTCGGCGAAATGTTCATCTCTTATGCTCCGCGAGCCCTGATATTCAATTACAAACTATGATCTATAACTAATTCCAGGCTAATTTCGCGTGGTAGGCAAAGGATGTGGAATATACAATACTTTAATTGCATTAAAAGTAGTCAATAAGCTTTTTGATTTGTGGTTGGCATTAAAGCGATTTAAGTGGGTGATTTGCTTGGGTTCTCCTCTCTCCTAATCGAAGGCATATGTATGTGAGTATAGCTAGGTTATCGTAATCGTAAATGTTTAATGGTAAATGGTTAGTAACATGTACTTGTTGGCCTGGGTTTATTGCTACTTATACACCGGCCATCGACTGGTCAGCGTTTCCCGAGGATGATCTGGCCCTGGCCAAAGAAAACTAAGCTAGGTAGGCGCTACAACAGAAACCGTCACACTAAGAGGCATCCTTAATTACCCTAGACCCGCAATCTCTCCAAAGTTCTCGTATTGGTTAAGTAAAAATTGCTTATCCTTGCAAATCTATATTAAAAACTAAACAAATTCAACTAGTTTGCAGCTTTTTAGCCATCAATTGTTATAATTACTTGTTTTCATATTTGTTTCTTTCGAAGACTACCATAAAATCCCTGTAGGTTCATCGTAATGCGTGTGTGAGTGTGTGATTTCTGAGATAATGCTAAAAATTAATTATGTCTAGAGAGTAATGCGTTAAAATGACACATAACACCCGCCGCGTTAGTTTCGTAAAGTCTGAACTACTCGATTACATTGGTTGCTTTTGGTTTTTTGAGTATTTCAGTTGCTTGGTAAAGTAATTTGATTGTTTTTATGCCTAAATTCGTTTGAATTTAACTTTTGATATAAACTTTTTTTTGCTTCTTAAGTGTAACAATTAGCATGGGAAGCGTAGGTTAGTGTTAAGTTGGGTTAAGCTTGTATTAAGAGTTGCCAAATGAAACCAAGGCGAATTCAAAAGCGATTTTGTATATATTTGTTTGGTTGGTGAATACGTGTGAGTGATGTTTTGATTTTTTTTTAGTAATCAATTTGGTTTTTAGATATAGTTTTAGCTTATCTTCCCTATTCGTGTTAGGTGTACAAAATGAGTAGGTTTTTAATTAAATAAAGCCTTGTAATGTACATTACAATATGTAATATTTTGTTTGATACATAAATAAATAGGCGCTAGAGATCCTTTCTCAAAAAACATGAAAAATAATGGTAGACATAAATTATAAACTTAGTGCCGAATAGCTCTAAAACTGGAACAGCCAAAAAAGCTAAAGAAAGATAAATTCTTAAAACAAATTTCAACAATCAATCAAGCATCGCGCTAATGTTTAACAAGGATAATGCTTATAGCTAATCCAAAACAAAAAACTAAACAATATATTTAACTCAGGTGTTGTAACAATTCAATGAGTAACAAAAAGGGGAGACTGATGAGTTAAACGAATTTACAATTTTTAAAATGTCTTCTTAAAAATTGAAATTCCTTGATAAACGCTTAACGGACAATCCAAATCATATGATCATATTTTAACTCGGGTCTGGGGGCTTGGCTATGTAAAAAGAAACTACATAAAATTCCTCAGTAATAGCGCAAAACATAACAAAAATTCATATCCTAATCTCTCTACGCGGAAAAATTGGTCGAGACTCTTTCAGTTCAGCATTTACCGCGCTGATTCGTTCGCTTAAAATTAAACATGTACAAATTAGAAATTATTAACAGCTTTCTTAGCCAAAAAGTAACTTGAGTAGTATGTTGATGAGGGGTGTGGGTAAATGAAATTGCTCATTTCATGTATCATTCGTTTAGCATTCGAATGCCAGCTTCAAATGCTGATATGTAAGCATGATTATCAAAAAATAGTATGAATGTGGGGGGTCTTTGTTTTGTTTGTGTTTGGGGGAGTCGACTAACACTAATTACCTTAAAGGAAATTCAATGTGTAAGCTTCATATCGTACCAATCTAATATACACATTAATAAAACTGTGTTCACAATGAAAATGACGATGATGAGTCCGGGTCTTCGTTGGCTCCAGGAAAACTGTCTGCGAAAACGTATGCGCCATTTTTTCTACGTTGCCTAAAAGTCCAAAGTTCCGCACATGATAAGTGCGGAAATATCCGTTAAAACAGTGCGGATAAAAGACGTAGCAGTCTAAATAGCCTGATACTGGTGCTGCAATTGCTGCTGGTGCTTTTGATGCTGTCGCTGCTGATAGTTGTACATCGATGTGGCAGCGGCGCTGGTCGCTCCTGAGTTGCCCATCATATTGAGATTGTGGACCTGCGACTGCTGTGGAACCTGATGCTGGTGTTTCTGCTGCTGCTGGTGCTGATGTTGCTGGCTGTGCCCCATTTTGTTGTCGCCGTTGATGCTGTGACTGGAAGAGGCCAGCGAAACGGTCGACGATGATGGTCCGATACCCACCAGGCTTTGCGACTTGGAGTTACGAGTCAATGGCTTGTGATTCTTGACAATATCGCAGCTGTGCTGCCATTGCCAGCAGCTGCGGCAGAAGTATCTGCAATAATAATGATCATATTAAACATCTTTTATAAAATGGCGATAGTTTGAACCCTTTAACTCACCGGAAGCAAGACAACTCGCGACAATAGTAGGGACCGTGTTGTACTCCGCATATTGAACACAAAGCGTCCTCCAAATACGGATCCACCTGCACTTTCTTGGTGAACTTCGTTGTACGAATCTCGATGAAAGCAGCCGACACTGCTTTCATGTATGAGCGAAAGTTGCTAAAAGTCACACGTCCCGATCCAATTGGGTACTTATACTTGTCCGTATCGATACCGGCATACAGCACGCCGTCGAAAAGATCATCCATAATCTTACCCAAGCCCTCAGCAGTCAGTTTTCCATGCAGGGCTCCCACAAATACGGTCTTCGTTGGGTCTAGTTTCTGGGAGCTGGAGCGCACAAAGTTCGAGTCGGCAATTATCCATGGAATAACCTCAACCTAATCAAGTAACATCAAAATAAATGACTATTTTTCAAGAAGTTTGTTGCATACATACATCTTTGGACTTGATGCGACGCGATGAGATTTTAAAGTAATAGTTGCTGCCACTCTGCGAATCATCCACCTGAACCACGCATGCCGAAAGCAAGGCTCTAACCTGTTTGTCCGACTCGAATATAATGTAGACATATCCCTTGGGCTGCGCAGCCTGCTGCTCCTTGCCGGGCCACTCCACTCTGTCGAGGTTAAGAAGTTGAATTACTCAGGTATAAAGTTAGTCCGCTATGAAAACTCTCACTTGATGGAACCAAACGGCTTGAAGATCTGGATTAGCGATTGCTCACTTATGTCCCAGGGAATACCGCCGAGGAAGACCTTGGGAGAATAGTTGAGCATGCGGTGCGAACGCGGCGGCAGCTGTCCGCTCCAAGTGCAGGTGGCATCGCACAAAGCCGCAGAGCTCCTGTGGAACTTGGCCACGCGATCCAAGTGGCCATCATTGGTTGTTCCGCTGACGCCACCGCTTCCGCCTCCGCCTCCAGTCATGTCGGACATGCCCACGCCGTTGCTCGAGCCGCCCATGCCCATAAGGCTATTGAGATTGCCTCCCGCGACACTGCCCATGGTGCTGCCGGCATAGCTCTGGAGCAGCTGATTGATCAGCGGCATCTGTTGCGTCTGGGCCTGCAGCAACTTCAGAGTGTTGATGCGCTGCAGATTCTGCAGTTTGGCCAGCTCCATGTCCACATTGGCAAGGTTCTCCAAAGTATAGTGATTGAGGCAGTTATCGCTGCCTCCGCTGGCAGCTCCCACGCCAACGCCGTTCTGCTCGTAACCGTGCTGTTGCCCACCTCCGTTGGCGGCCACTTGCTGCTCAAAGTTTCTGTTCAAATTGGCGTACTGCTGCTGAAGCTGGTGTGGCTGCTGCTGCTGCTGATGTTGCTGCGATTGGTGATGGTGTTGCTGCTGCTGTTGTTGCTGCTGCTGCATGGAGACAAGTTTGGTGCTATTCACAGACAGCAGATTCTGAAAGAGCACCGATACAACATTTATATAGAAATTTTATAAGTTGAATGCTAAAGACTGTGGCTAAGTAGCTTGCTATCATGTTGATCTTACCCTATACAAAACGTTAGCCATTGATGGGTATTAATAACAGAAATTTTGATGAATGATTAAATAACTTTGTATAAAAATTAGGTGTAAAAATAAGTCCTACAGCTATGTCAATTTTTTATAAATGATAGAAAAGTCGAAACAATCTCTTATAAATTTCAAAATCTGTCAGTTTTGGAGATGGATACAAAACCTTTTTTTTAGTTATCTGCACTCTTTTGAAAAGATAGTGTGTACCAACTTATCCCAAATATAATTTCTACAATTTCTAAATATTCAACTTTCATCCCCTGAGAAAGCCAGTTCTATCATGGTCGGGTTCACTATTCAGTGAAAACAAGTGCAATCTTTAAAATAAATCTATGTTTATGTGATCTATATTTTTATCTTTAATAAATAACGCCTATTGTTGAACAAAAGGATTGCAATTAAGGCTCTATTTCTGTCCAGCTTGTATGTTAAGAACAATGTGAAATACTTACAATCATATCCAGTAGGTTGGGCTCGGTTATCGACTGGCCGCTGTTCTGGCTCTCTGGTGAGTTGGAGCGCGTGGAGGCGTTGGCCAGACTCAGTCCCAATCCGCTGCCAGTGGAGTTACCCAGGCTGGTGTATCCCGGCTGTTTCTGTGCCTGCTGTTGCTGCTGCTGGTGGTAGAGCATGTTGATAGAGTCCAGGGAGAGGCCATTGCCACTCGACGAGTTGCTGCTGTCGCTGGAAGGGTCAAGTGGAGAACGGTTAGTCAAATTAATGGTCAAATGGGACATGAAGCGAGTGCCACATTATAATATCTTGGTTATTACCTGACTAAAGGTGAACTGTGAAAGGAGCGATTGTAAATAGATGTAGGCGTACTTGGCGATAAGGGTGCAGAGCAATCGAAGCTGATGTTTGTTCTTTGGAAAGCCTTAAGTGGGTTACTTTGTGCAACATTTTCAAACTAAGTTCGCCAATTCACCCAAAAAAGAAAGAAAGAATGGAAACGAACAAATAAATTATAACGAGGAAAGGAAACGGTAACGACAACAGATAACTTCGCTGAAACGAAGTTGCAAATAACCTTGCAGGTCGCCTAGCAATAGACAATTCTCATGTGCAAAAATCCAAAAAAATTAGTTTTATAGCTTCTGCAAGGTTAATTTTAATATGACCAAATACAGAGTGGGTCGATTCTTTGTTTAATATGTATCTACAGATATTTATTTTAATTTAGGTATTAAATATTAATAAACATATACGGTTGTTGTACATACATCATCCAAGGTTTAGACGTTTTTTCATGGTAATGATATTAAACATTTATCTTGTCTCATCGTATATTTAGTAGTTAATGGACAAAATAGAGATTTAATTTTCTAAATTACATATTTCTTTATTTTGAAAGTAGACAAGAAAAGATTTTTGTTAGTTTATAATAATTGGTTAATTGGAAACGACATCATCTTAGCAAGCATTGTATAATTAACTATCAATTATTCTGTTTTCGACCCACCCATCAACACAGAGAGACAGAGAAGACAGTGGGAAAAAGTTAGAAAATCATAAGACGGTTACGGTCCACGTGCATGAGAAACACGGGTTGGTTTTTTTTTTTTTTTTTTTTGAGGGAATAGATACGAGTACAAGCAAAAAGTTTTGAGAATTCGGTGCAAATTGAGTGCAGTTAGAGGGAAGTAGAAGGTCACAACCCGAGGACAGGCATCAATCGGGCGGGAGGTTGGTTCGGAGTCGTAAGCTGGCCTTACCTGGAAGTAGTCAAAACTGGACTTGGTGCCCGGCGATGCCGAGGACTGAGTGGAGCTGGGCGTTAGTGGAGCGTAGACGGCCGCATTGGCGGACAGTTGAGCGCCATCGCCGGCAGCCGCGGCGGCAGCGGAAGCAGCAGCGGCTGCCGCATTGGCGAGCAGCAGATTGTTGACGTCGCCGCTGCTGCCGTTGCCCCCGAAGCTGGCGGATGGGTTGCCCGCCGGGCTGTTGCCCGTGGCGGTGGTTTGTCCCACGACTCCTCCTTGACCCGGTCCCGATCCTCCTGCTCGGACAACTACTCCTGTTGTCGTTGTTGCACCAGTGGCAGCTCCTCCGCCCAACGCCGTGGACGATGTCGAGGGGCTCTGGCCAATACCGACCACCCCGTTGCCGCCGCCACCACTGCCGCACAGGCCGAGTAGATCGTTCAGTGTGATTGGATCTGCAGACAGAAAGGAGAGATGGGGCGGTGGGAGGGGTAAGTACAATGTCAACAATTATCGTAAAGTTTGCCCAGCCCTCGATAAATCAAAACTATTGCCCCTCAAGCACTTTGCAAATATTCGACAAAACTGCTAATAAATTAAGCGTACTGCAGTTGCTGTTTGTGTTGTCCATGTTGCTCTGGCCACTGCTGTTGGTATTGGTATTGGTATTGCAGTCGTCTTGGGCCAAGTTCTGGGTCCCGATGCCAGCAGCCAGCCTGCCAGGGTCCTTGGCGCTTGTGTTGCTTGTGTTGCTTGTGTGGCTGCAACTACTGTCGTCGCTGCTACTACTGCTGGTCGAGCTCACATCGCTACTGCTGCCAAATTCAAACGAGTCCGGCGATACCGCCATGTATGGCTTCTCGACTTTCAACATGTGTGCTAATCCTGATGGAATCCTGGCCGACCTTCGACTACGTTTGCTGCAGGGGGGACTGCTTCTGTGTCAGCGTCTTCTTATTGGACATATACGATTTTGGAGCTTGACTTATTTAAAATTTCGAGTGCTACTGTAAAATTTAATTTCCGCTTCTTGGTTGCAGTAGTGACAATTTTAAATCGAAATGTAAATGGAAATTTTCATACCGCGGACCACGCTTCTGCAGTCCGACTTGTAACTTGTCTGTTTAAATTAACTTAATATGAATGATGACAGTGTGTCTACGAATTATGTGTGCCGACTTCTAAAAGTAAAAAACTATTGAAATATTTTCTGTGTGGATCTGACATTTCCAGTGTCCAGCGACTTTGACAGCAAAGTAAAAGTATGAAGTACTCAATATTTTATTTTATTTATTTTAATTTATTTATTTTTTTTTAACTGAAATCCAAATTGAAAAACCCAATTCTTTAATATCATTGAATATCCCTCCTCATAGTTTTATGCGATTCTCTTTTTGTCATAAAACATTTTATGTGCTTACTGCAGAACGCGAATTCTTTAGCACAGAATCATCTAATGGGACACATTTTGATATTAAGCTCACCATTGATAAAGGATATCAATCCTTCGTCGTTGCATCTGTCCAGCAGATTGTGTTGCAGCTGATGCTGCTGTTGCTGCTGCTGGTGGTGCTCCAGGTAGGAGCTGATCGAGTGTTTCTGCAACAGCTCCGTGGTTGAGTTTCCGCTCAGGGCTCGCATGTTGCCACCAGAACCAGAGCAATCAGAGGTGTCGTACTGGAAATAAGTAGAGAAAGAAAGCCTTGTAGAACGATGACATCAAGCAAGAGATTTGAACTGCAAGCGTAATAAAAACAGGCGACAGTTGGCAAAACTTTTATTGTCTTTCTGTCTCCTTCTGTAGTCGGTGTGTGTCAGGTGGAGAAAGGGTTTGGCCCTACCACCCAACGGCAGCAACTAATGAATCGTTTATCTTTCACATTTCTTGCCACATGCCAGGCGACGCAGAGTGGAGGCTGCAACGTGGCAACCGCACGAGGACAACCCCCTCACCACATCAGCCCCTGAGAATTGCCCACCCACTGCTCCCCGTTTTCCAGCACCCACAGCAGCCGACCCTTGTCGCACTTTCCTCTGAATCTCCGTCTTTCTCGCTCTCCTCTCAAGCACTCTCGAGCGCCTGGGCGCAATTAAAAGCGCATCAAGTGTCAGTGGAGCACACTTAAAAATGCCAAATTAGTGCAAATATTGTTATCAGGCACTCACCAAACAATTTAGCGTAAAATGGCGTACAACTCATTACGCCGGATTAATGCAGCCCACCAAACGGAACGGAACGAAACAAAACGGAAGCAAACGAATCGAGGCGAGTGACAGCAATCGGGAATGAACAGGGGAGGAGTGCATGTGTCTTTGTGGCTTGAATGACAAGGGCTTGTTTGTGGATGAAACGAAATGTGCCACAGCCAAGGCAACAAGTCATTGTCAATGGTCAGCTGATGAGTGGGTGCCAAAGAGTTGCTCCAGTTACCCAAAAAGAGTTCCCTAGAGTGATTGTCACCCAGTTCTTGATTGTCCATGGTAGTTAGTGAGTAAGCAAAGTGGATTTTAAAGGGACTTCAATTTCATATTATATACGTGCATTGAAATTCATTAAAATTATAAAGACCGAAATAGTACTTTAACAATATTTATCATAACATTTCGACATAGACTTACATACATTCTACTCAAAGAAACAATGTTGTTGTCTTGGTAATCAGAGTAAATAAATAAAAAGCCACCAAATAGATAGTCATTTATAAATGCTACCACTGATCAACCATTAGAACATTTTCTCAAGTGATTTGTGTTGGGCATGAAATACATAACAAGTTTAATTAACTTGCGAAAACTCATTTGTTCACTTGTTTAGCAAGTGGAAACGATGCGCTTTTCCTGGCACAAATGGATCCAGTAAATGGTTAGGGGCACAAGTTAAAGATCTACCGCCACATAAAGGACTGACAAGTGTGGAGCAAAGAAAAGAACTTCCATCCGTCGGCAAGTTTTGAATGCCTGGAACGGAGCGACAGTCGACGGCTTCCTTGGTCTTTGTCAAGTTGTCACAACTATGTTAAGTACAAAACTTGCTATGGATTTAAAAATTGAATGACAACTTGATGAAGGTACGTGCAAAGTCGGAAATGGTACGAACATCCGAGCACACGCACGGCAACCACACGCCCACCATCGAGCGGGGCTGCAAGGATGTGCCGGACAACTCGGCTCCGTTGAGAGGCGGCATTGTGGCCTATATGTGTGTTTTTTTTTGTGGGGGATTTCAGACTTTGTTTCTAGCCTGCGCGTACGTCACACCGCCCACACACAGTTTCAACATGTGGAAGGCGATAAAAAAAACGGCGTCAATGAATGCAAATTACAAATAGTCCTCAAGCTATTTTGTAATGCCGAGGCCGCGTCCGCATCCGCGTCCGCATCAGCATTCTCATCCGCAGACGTATCCCCCCCCGGATACGTCGTCGAAAACAGCAGTAAGACGCTAAAAGCTTTCGCTGGCGGAAATAGAAAAGGCGTCAAAGAGACAAACGAGAATATAAGGCCACTCACTGCCTTTAAAAGAAAGCAGGAATACTCTTTCTAAGGATTTGTTTACCCCTTGCAGCTAAAAATCATATACCTTGAAACAATTGTAAGAAATATTATTTATTTGTTTATGCCCAATACATGATTTAATACAAACTTACAACTGCAAGTGTAATGTTTAAAAAAAATGTATGGGTTAGAAAGTTTAAATTTGACAAAGCTAAAATGATTATAAAATCTTAAGCTATCTAAATCAAAGTAACTGTTATGCAAAATAAAACCATTCAAGCAATCTAGACCAAAAGAACTGTTTAAAAGTGAAATCAAAAGTCGACACGAATGTAAGGGGAGAAAATTTCCATTTTCAACAGGAACAGCTCAATCAAGCAGCGATACCCGGCCCACAACTACTTTCTCGTCCCGGAAAAAAGACCATAAACAACGAAATTGAATACGACAAAAAATCTTAACCACCCGTTGACGCATAGATAGCACCCTGGTCTATTGACTACTCTATTCCTTATTCCCCACCGCCTGCGAGATCTCCCCCGACTTCAGAACCTCCCCTATATATCGATGCTCCTGTTTCAGTTTCAGTTTCAGCTCCTTCTCATGCTCCATGTCTTTTGTCGCCGAGGATTTGGAAAATTTGATTCAATGGCATTGGTTGTGCCCACATCCATATCCACATACACATCCACTCTCTGCCCGCTGATGGCTACATGGAGATATTCGGCATCGCTCTGCGTCCGATCCGAAGATGTCAGCCATGGGGCCAAGGAGCCGTTGCCGTTGCCGTTCCACCCATAACTCAGTAGTTATTTATCCCATGTCCATTTGACTTGGCCCTTGTGTTCCCCTTGTCTTCCTTTTGCCAAGCTCAGCTCGTTGGCCATAGGACTTGGAGACTTACAGACTTGGACTTTCCTTGCATTTCATTTTTGGCAAGCGATTTGCCAATGGGCTGATTTTGGGGCTGGGATTTCGTTCTGGGCCTGGCCTGCATTTTAGCGGAGCGGATACACTCACACACGATGTGGCATGCTGTGGATAAAAAACGTTTCCGGGGCCAGGGCCTCTGTAAAATAACAAGTTTCTGCTTTCAGAAGTCATACAAATTATTATGTTTGCATCGCTTACAACACTTATTAGATGTCCTGCTCCTGTTTTTCCTTCTCGCCCAATGCTTCCTCCTATGGCCCTCTGGCCCAAAAGGGTTTTCGGCATTAAAATTTGATGGCATGTAGTGATAAGCGTTCAATAACGATGTTGTCCTTGTCGTCGCCATTCCTCCCATTACACAACCCTTCTCCCCGCGGTCCACTTCAATCGATTCGTTTCGTATCGTTTCGTTTCGTTTCGATTTCCCTCGGCCCTCTGAACTTTTTCCCGCTCCCAGTGACCGCAGCAGCCAGAGGTTAATGCACAGTTGTAATTTTTTATGGCCGATTACATGTTGCCAACTTGTGGGCGAAAACGAAATCGCAAAAGGGGACTGTGGCAACAAGAAGGTTGGCGGCGAGTCCATAAAGGATAAGAGTTATGGCCGAGTGCATTTGAATTTGCCAGCGGTAATAGAGTGTTTGCATATTACGTGGCGAGTGTTTAAATCCCCTGAAAGTCAAACCCCCATCTTTTCAGCGCATTCGGGATGCACAATTTATGGAGTTGTGTGATCCATAAATTGGGGGATGAGGCGAATTCGATTGGTGTTTGCCAAAGGGGAAATCAAGTAAATGCAACTCAATTTACGACAAAGTTTTTATTTGCCAACAAAATATTGGCAAATTATAAAGTTATGTTACACGTTTGATTGTCGTATAAAAAAAAATAAAAACAATAATTGAAAATTGTAAGAACCATTGTTATTGTCATTAACTTGTTAGTTTGTTTACTAAGTTTAGAAATTATATTTGATTGCCGGAATTTAGTTGTACAATTCAATTAATTTCGATAAATATTTAAAACTTTTTAAATTGTTTACAAAAATTTTTTTGAGATGAAACAAAGAGTATACTAATTTACTGTTATAGTTACTATTTTAATTATAGCAAAAGTCTGAAATTAATACCCTTTGTGGAGGCTGTATCTCTAAGGTTTAAGCAAGTAATTTATACTCTTAACCGTATTAAATGTTTATAAGTCCTAACCGATATCTTTAGTATAAGTTTTCCCTAGAACGCGCTGATGCTGTAGAACAAAATCGTAAAATGTTTTTAAATTAAAAACTATTCACCGGAGACGAGACTCCTTAGACTTCGAACTTTTTTTCTCAGGCCTCAGGAATCGTGGGTGGTTGGGGCATGGATTCGATAAGATGCAAATGCCTGCAGGACAGCAAGCAGTGCTTGGGTTGGGTTCCAATTCCGATGCACTGGCACGTAATTGCTGCGCCTACGTATCCTGCTTCCTGCATCCTGATCCTTCTTACCCTTGGCTCAGCAGCTGCTGTTGCTTTGTTTGTGTTTTTGCTGTGCTGTGATGTGCTGTGCATTTCATTAAATGCCAATGCCTGGGCAAATAAAATTGAGTTTTGAGCATGTCGAGAAAGGAGTGCCATTTCATCAGCTTTGACGATGCGACGCGATGTGTCGCCCTCATATTTACATAACTGCATGCCTTCTTCTTGTCGAGTGCGAGTGCGAGTGCGAGTGCTAGTGCTTGTTTTTGTGTCCTATGTTTTGTGCAATATGAAAACAAGACATTAAATGCCTTTCTGGATCAAAACTCAACTATCAAAGCGCATGCAGACGTCTTCCCGGCCGGCAGGACCTCCTTCTGCTCCTCTTATCCTCTTTTCAGCGGAGTCAGTCGCAGTTGCAGCTTCCTTTCGCATGCAGCCCATCCATTTAATAATAACAATATCGTAATTCAGGCAAGTCACTGACAGCAGCAGCCTTTACATGGGCGTAGCCAGCCCCTCCTCCTTTTGGATAACAAACGAGAGAAGCGTAGCGACATTTCAGTTTCAACGGCAACATTTCCGATTCTCGGCGCTTTGTTGCCGTTGTTATTGTTTCTCTCGTGCGGCTGTGAAGCGTGGGTACTGGCGAGGGGGTGGCTTCAGGGACGGGGGGAGCGGTGGAAGGGGCCAAGCAGCCGTCAACAGGCATTCAATACATGCACATTTGCATGAGTGCTAAGTGGAAATAAAACACGCGCTTTTTCCGCACTGCATTATCTGCCGCTGGATCTGCGGATCTGTTTCTGGTGGTGGTGGTGGCGGTGGTGGTGGTGTTTCTCCTCCTGCTCCTGCCAAATGGTGGTGCCGCTTTTAGTGATGATACGACCAGCCAGCCACCACCGGGGGGTGCATGCTGCACATTTTTTAGGCAGCCCAGGAGGCGAAAAGGCATAACTTTTCCGGGCCTATTTAAAAAGAGAAACACAACAAAGTTTCAGGACTGCACAAAAACCAGCTCGAATTTTAGATACTTCTTTCCATCATGTTAGGTAATAATCAAACAATAATCTTCAAACAAGATTGAGACATGTGCAAAAAAAACTGCCCTTTTAAGTATGCTATACTTGGCAGAAATTGCAATTATTTCCCTGCTTATCCAAAGACATAATCTGCACATATTTAGTTGTATCATTTAAAACGACGTTTTAATTTTGTAGGGTCATGCCAAGAGCCCAGCGAGGCTACCCCTAAATCTTCAAACTAGCCCTTGCCTTGGTTTTATGCAAAATATCTATGTATATAAAAGTATTTTATGCAAACTTAATCAAGTCGAATGAAAAAACTTTATTTCCGAGAACTGCTTAATAGCATTATAGGAATTGAAAACCAAAAATTTCAATTCATAATTTTAACGACAGAGGTTATCAACAGAAACCTAAGTGCTTTATCATGGGCATTTTTAAAACCCTCCACAGAGTGGCAGGGAACCTTTGCAGGGATATACAAAACAAGAGGCGACTCCAACTGGGTGCTGGTCTTTTGTGGTTTTTCTTTTATTGTTGTTGTTGCTGTGGCTGATGTTGCTGTTGCTCATTGCTGTTAGCTTCTATTTTCTTTTGCCGCATTTTTGTTCGCTTTTAATGATAACGCAACAGCATTGTGTATATACCACCGCGCACTGCCTGCCATCTCTCGTCCTCGTCATTGGCCAAAAGGCCTGCCTGATGATACCCTCTCGGCCACCTTTCGTCATCCGCTCAACCACAATAATGGTGGGCATCGGGCGAAGTTCAGGGGGTCACGAGAAGAGGGTGGTGGTGGATGCAGGAGTGGAGGAGCGGAGGAGTGCACCACAACCACGCATGCCAGACTGCCAATGCATTAAATGCTAGTTGAGCCCAGTAGGTTGTGCAACTCTGCAACGTCTGGCGAAGTAAATTCAATTGAATTTTGCACTCTTTTTTCTGTTTTCCATTTTTTTTTATTTTTTTTTTTTGCCATTTTCCGCATTTTGTTTTCTCATTTTTGTTAAATGCCAGAGGCTCATATTGCACTGGGCTACGCCCTAATACGAACCGATACCCACTCCAAACAACCCAACCACCGCAGTGCAACAAACGCACCCGGGTTGATATTTTCTTGGTTGTTATCCCTCTCGCTGGCGGCGGGCGTGTGATTTGCTTGGTATCGACATTTTAATGATGTGCCCTGGGGCTGCTGCCACCGCATTGTTGGAGGACGCCTCGGCCGCCTTGTACTTTTGGCATTTGCGCGAAATGTCGAGACATTCCAATAGTCTGCCAAGGACTATGAGCAGGAGCAGGAGCAGTAGCAGTACGACTGGGAGTGGGAGTGGCAATGGCGGCCTGGACATCGCAAGCTAGCCTGAGGCATATACTTAAGTATACATAACCAACTGTTAATGCCGCCCAGCACAATGATTTGCTGCTCGGCATCATTTACGCCCCGTCCACTCACTCAAGTTCTGGTTTGAATAATGCCAATGATTTGCCCGCCGGAAATCAAATTTAAGCTGGCTAATAACTGCCATTTGCAGACTGTCGTTTAGGGAAAGTGGCCAAGTATTCGCTTAATTATACAGTAATGTATTCTGTTTAAGGGATTTTGGTTTGTGCAACAGGTAGGTTATAAATTGAAATAGGAGTAAGTATTTGGGTTCCATATGTTTAATATTCGTATTATTATTCGTATTATTTTTTATATTAACAAATTATACTTTGCTTCCATTTAAATCATATTATTGGTCAAAGTTTTGATATAATTTGACTAATGCACAAATATTATTTTTGTTCCACCTATTTAAGTATAAATTTAGCGTGTTCTCTAGCTGCCTACAAAGAAAACCTCTGCTATTTTTTGCCAAAACTTCTATTTAACAACTCCCCGGAGACATTGATAGACTGACCTGCACTGAACTCCACTTGGGCTGTTAGCTTCTTTGGATGCTGAGCGAGGGTCAATAAAAAAAAAATGCTTTACGAAACGATGTCACAGCAGGACATGGATGTGGATATACTCGTATGCAGAGAATGTGGATGTGGATATACTCGTATGCAGAGAAGGACAACACACATCCCACAGCTTAAAATGGCAAATAAAATGTACAGCATTTCTTATGACCGACAAATTTTCCGTTGTGACCCCCCACATTATTTATAGGCATTTTAAACAGCGGGCAATGGCGCAATGGAAATGAATGCAAAATGCATAAATAATACGACAGGGGGGAAGGATATTAAGTACACGCCACGTTGGCATGAAGTAGACGCATTTTAGACATTACCAGCAAATAAATATGAATGTACAGCAATACAGCAAGGGGGATATACTGCTGCTTACACGACGAAATTGACATTTTGCATTTAGTTATTCAGATGGCTACATTTTGATCTTTTTTTTTCTACCATTTTGCTGCCGCTTCTGGCAGCCACAATAAAATGAGAAGAAAAATTGCATAATAACCCCTTTGAAATCGTCGGATTATCCTTAAATATTTGTGTAAACATTGTAACAAATGCGCAGCTCCATTGTCAGCCAACTCGGGCCACGGATGCAGCACAGGACCCACCACCTCCACTACGCCTTTTTGAAAACCATCCCCAATCCATTGACGTAGTCAAGGCGGCTTTTCCTCAACCCCTGTGCGTCGACTGTCGTCAAATGCCTGAATGATGAGCAATAGACGGGCCGGGTCTCCTGTCACAGTCGACAATGAGCAACTTTTTGCGAAGGCGGAAGACGTGGCAAGGATACAAACGGGCGGCGAAGACGTAGCCAACAATGGGACCAAGTGCTCCGCCGAGGGGACGCTTCTTAAAAAACCTGTCACACATATTGACAGTCGCTTTAGGATCGCTTAAATCAAGTCTGGGGTCGGGACATGGGTTGGTTAGCATGTGCGTATCAGCATAAAGGATATTGTTATGATTATAGCTCACATGTGGAGGTGAAGGGCAATTGTCGCATCTGACATAATTTTGATGTGTATTGATATGATGTGAAGTGGATTGTCAGGCAGGATAATTAATTTTTCAGAGGATAAAGAATATTTATGGCGGGACAAGTAATCATGACGGATATGCATATGTAGCGAAATTCTGTCTAATAATTTTCACTGCCCTAACCATAAAACGTTTTATTAGATTTAAAAAAAAACAAACATTTTTCAGTACAGAATTTCTCTTTTTGGGAAGTTAAATATATGTGGTCTCTAAAGCCGTTCTAAAAGAGTAAATTAGCCCCCACATACTTTTAAGTTTTTTCATTTCCATACCGAAGATGCTAAAACTGTAATCTAAGTTCTTATTTTTATACTTTTGTGGTATTAATTGATGCATTTTTCATACCCAACAATTGTTTAGTTTCTATGACAACTTATTATTTGGGTGCACTCTTTTAGTTTTTAGGTAAATATTGTCTTAGGTCTTTAACAAAATTTAAGAATTACAAAGTACTTTTAAAAAACTTATTGTTAACAAACAGCTAGATTTTATTATTTTTGACAACTACAAAATTGCCTTATAATATTGTTTTTACTTATTAAAAACATTATTTTTAAGAGACAAAAAAAATATTAGCAGTAAAACAGTACAACCACTTTAACGCCATTCATCCTGTTTCTCCAGAGCTCTCTGTTTTTCTCAACGCTCCTCGCCCGGCGCTTTTTTGTGCCGCCGAGTGTTCTAATCGAATCATCTCATTTAAGTGAATTAAAAAACATATAAAGGCGAGCGAAATTAAATCACGCAACTATTTTGCGCAACAAAGAGTACAATTAAACACCCAACCAGCAGCAGCAAGGACGAAGAAGAGGCGCAGCAGAGTCTGGCGCACAAAACGCCGCAAGTTTAATCGAATTTAACTACTCATAATGTGCAACAGACGTAGGCGGATGGGTGTGGGTGGTGGGCGGCTAGGTGGATAACTCTCAAAAGTAAGGCGTAATGTTGGGCTCTAATCTTATTAGGATCATCCCAGGCCAGCCACTCACGAATCCCAATTGGGTGGGTAAGCTTGAAAACCAGCTGATGACGCTCTCGTCCTCTCACTCTCTCCCTTTCTCTCTTGCGCGACTCCAGTCGTACGTGAGCGTTTCAATTACCGCTCTGGAGTGCGAATGGGTTTTATTATTATTTACATACCTGTTGCAGCAGGGGCATTGTTTTGAATAAAAATTCCAATTTCCACACTTGTTCACGTTGTGCTCCTTGTTCGTTCGTGCTCGCTCGTCCTCGTTCGTGTTCGGCAGCAGCATCCGCAATCTGACAAAGCGGCAAAACAGATGTCACCACTTCCGCCTCTCGTCCTTTCCTTCTCTTTTCCTCTCCCACAGCCGGCGGAGAGCCCTTTAGCGCACTCTCTCTCTTTCTCTCCTGCGCAGGCCTTTTTGGTTGGAGTTGGCTGCCGTTTGAGTTGGAGTTCGAGTTGGCTGTGGTTGGAGTTCGACTGACAAGCTAAGCCTCGGGCAAGGAGTCTGGTTTTTGTTGTTATTGTTCTTTGGGCTTCGCAGGATAACGCGAGTGTGAGTGAGAGGTGGCGACCCAAGACAGCTGGCAGATGTGGCCGTATCAGCAGCAAATAGTCATCGATTCATTATTCCGCCTCGTCAACGATGCAAATTTCCAAAAGCCTGAAAATATAACAAGCTTGAATTAATAATTGGGAACTACCAACTCTTTGTAGTTTCCGAACCACTGGAGTTTAAGGAAAACACACGCGTACGCACTTAAGCGTTAAATGCCGTAAATCGATCAAGGCGTATCCCTGTCTCTCTCTCTATCTCACTTGCTCGCTGGCCCCGGCTAACTGTAATTAACTGTAATCCTGGGTCGCTTACTTTAAAAGTCCCCTTTTTATGGTCGCCAATAACACAAACTATGCATTATCCTTTTGGGTGGTAATCCTTTCGGAAGCTGTGTGTTGAGCGAACCTATTATTAGAGCCATAAATCAGCATGAAATGAGCAGCGGCAGCGAAGTTGGAGTTGTAAAATGTAGATGGAGCCAAGCCCTGTCTCGCTTTCTCTCCACTCTCTCCCTCTCTCTCTCTCTCTGTGCGTAGAATAATGGGTAGTAAGAATAAGTGTGGACACAGAAAGAAAATTTGATATAATATAATGAATATAATGATCAGTTTCAGAAATTTACATATTATTTTAGGAGCAGATCCCAGAATTTTAATTTGAAATTCAATTCGTAAAAATGTAGTGTGCTATTAGTATATACATTGTGATTTCATGCCATATTAAGCAAAACAATGCAAAGTTCGTACCAATTGAACAGTAAAATGATCTGCGCATTTAGACCATTTTTTTTCTGTGTGTATTTGAGGAGGCGATTGCTTTTTGTTGTTTTTGAGGAGATGACGTGAGCCAAAGGAAATAGCAAAAAATAGGAACTAACAGCACATACTAGTAGTGTGTAGTTGTAAAGTTGTAAAATGCGCACGATGAGAATGAGAGAACAAATGAGCCGCTGCCCTTTTTTCCTACGAACTATTCTGCACACGGCTCCGTTTTTTTAGTCAACCATTTGTTGTGCCGGCTAACATCAATACATACCAAGGATTTGCCAAAAAAACACGCGCCTCGCGCATAAATTCGTGTGAATTTAATTTTAATTCCACACCCGCAATCGCTTCTCGTTGCCTTTGTCGTCCGCCAAGCACATTTTTACACACACTCGCACACACCGTCAGTGGAACCGTTACTTCTGCTTGCACGCCCTTCGCCGTTTTCCGTCTTTCTGCTGCCCCTGCTATTTCGCCGAAACTCCCCACTCACGGATGCATTTTTTTACTATTAAACTATTTTGATTGTTGAATATTCCGATTGTTGAATGGGGGCGGCGCTCTGTTCGGCTTAAAATTTAGCTTGAACTTTCTGCAAACTTTTCCGGAGCAATACAAATTATTAGAAGAAACTAAATATCATCCCGTGATATTTTATTCTCGGATTTTTGTCGGGATTTTTTTGATATTGTGGGCAAGCCACGGCCTGCAACGCTGCTTAAATAGACTTTCGCAGGCTCTGACGAGCGAACTGAATACAACCGTTCTCTCGAACCGGTCTTCTCTTTTGTTCGATAGAGCTCCCGTTTTTTTTTTTGTCAAAAAAAAGTTAACAAATTTGGTAAAAATTATGGGAACACTTTGCAGAAGTTCAGTTGTTTCTAAATTCATTCATTCTAAAATTTATTCTTTATCAGTAAACAAATGTCGAGCTGTAAAACAACCTGAATGTTGTATTTATTTTCCTGTTGGTCTTTTTTTACTTTTTGTTAGTTTTTAGTAATCTTGCTTTAATAACTTTATGTTAAATAAGTTTGCAACAAAATAATACAAACACTGGGATTTAAAAATTTAAAAATTTTTTTGATATGATAAGGACTAATTTATTTATATTTACTTACAAAAACCCCTCTTATTTCTCGCAGTGCACGACACAATTGTTCCGTGTGAATGGCAAGACCATCTGTTCGTCCGGCGTTGCCAGATATATTCAATTAAGTTAATTGCCAACGACAGAACATATTTACAATTTTCCATTGAAAAACAAAATTTATGCTGATTTAAGATGCCAGGAGACCCGGAAAACACCAGTGCCGAAACCACCAATGACCACATCGACTTGGCCTTGTACCGGCAGCTGGTCAAACAGTTTATAGACATGGTAAGAGGCGCAAACAGAAAGCCGGCAAGCGGAGATAAACTAATAATCCAATTGCGTTTCTAGAGACGCTTCTCAACGGCATTGTTCTGGGCGGAAAAAGTGGCCGTGCTGAGTGGTGGGGAGCCCCGGGATATATACTATCAGGCGCAGTGCATGTTCCTGCTGGGGGAGTACCATCGCGCTGCCCACACCATACAGCACCACAAGCTGGAGAAGAACTCACTGCCGTGCTTTAACCTGCTCCTGGAAAGCCTCTATGCGGCCAAGGAGTTCACAGAGGCGGCCAATGCCATCCAGAATGTGGAGGTGGAGATGATGACCACGTCGCTGATCAATCAGCCCGTGGATGCCAACAGCGGCTGCTACCTGGAAAGCAACAGCGTCTTTGGTGGCGAGGAGAACCACCGAAATGAGCTGCAGTCCTCCATTTACCTGATGAAGGGCAAGGTCTACGAGGCTCTGGACAATCGCGGCATGGCCATGGACTTTTATGTGCAGGCTCTCCACAAATCCGTCTACTGTTTCGAGGCTTTGGAGGCCCTGGTGCAGCACGAAATGTTAATGGCCTGGGAGGGTAAGCACGGGGTTCGCTTTTCCAAAAGCCCTAAATAGAACCGTATTCCTTGCAGAGTTTGAGCTGATGCAACACTTGCCTTTGGCACAGCAATCCACCGAAACGGACGGCAAGTTTATTCTCAAACTCTACGAATCTCGGTTAAAGAAATACTACGAGTTAATATCGGCCCGCAATGCAGAGGAGATCTCGCCCATTGTTAATCCTGATGCACTGAAGTATATTAAGGAATTTACGGCCAAAGTGCAGCAGACCGGCACCTCGGATTCCCAGTTGCCCAAAGTAAGCACCCTTAAGGTGCCGCCTACGTCTAGTCATTTCATGTCGCCCGCCACCAGGTGAGTCCTATTGATTTTTCCATTACACTGTATTTCATTCAAACACGTTTTTCCTTCTCAGAGTCCTGGAGGACCTAAAGGCTCCCAGTTTCTCACTGCAGACGAGCCTCTCGAAGGCCTCCTCCCTTGTAGATGCCTCTCATCGGTCCATGTTTGACTCCTCCAGCAGGCGGCGATCAAGGGATCACGACACAGACACCTTGATTCCTCTAGGGGATTGCCTGAACCGAGTACAACGCAGCACAGATTTGATGGCCTCCGAGGCGGAGAAGTGTTTCTACGACTGCGACTACAAACAGTGCCTGAAAATACTAAACGAGTGCGTGGTATTAGATCTAGATTCTAGATCCAGGAAGGTTTATTTACTTATGATTTACTTATTACACAGACTGCTAAAAGTGGACCCTTTCCACAACAATGCACTGACCATTCAAATTGCCTGCCTGGTGGAGAACGGCGACTTCAATCGTCTCTTCTACGTGGCCCATAAGCTGGTGGACCGCTATCCGGACAAGGCGATCTCCTGGTACGCCGTGGGCTGCTACTACGACATGATTGGCAAGAGCGATCCCGCTCGGCGCTATCTCTCCAAGGCCACTGCATTGGACCGACTTTATGGCCCCGCCTGGCTGGCCTACGGGCACAGTTTCGCAAATGAGAACGAACACGAGCAGGCGATGGCCGCCTATTTTAAGGCCACACAACTGATGCGCGGCTGCCATCTGCCCTTGCTGTACATCGGTGTGGAGTGTGGACTGACCAAAAACCTAGAGCTGGCCGAGAAGTTTTTCCTGCAGGCCATGAATATAGCGCCGCTGGATGTGTATGTGCTCCATGAGCTTGGAGTGATCAAGTATGAGTACGAGTTCTTTGACGGCGCCGCCACTATTTTCCAGTGCACCGTGGACATCGTGAAGCAGCGGGCGAAGACCAACAATGAGGAGATCTCAGCGCGCTGGGAGCCGCTATTTATCAATCTGGGCCACTCGCTGCGTAAAATCCACAAGTACGAGGAGGCCCTATACAATTTTCAATACGTAAGACTATTGCTTAAACCGTTAGGCATTTGACTCTTAACCTACTTATGTTTTTAGGCCCTGTTATTGAAGCCGCAGAACCCCACAACCTACACCTCCATAGGATTTATACACGCACTGCTGGGAAACCTTGACCCCGCCATCGAAGCATTCCACAAGAGCTTGGCCCTCAACAGGGACTGCATTGTGACATCCACCATCCTTAAGAGTTGCATCGAGGACCTGATGGATGACCCCACCACCATTGATGAGATCTGCAGCGCCGCCTTGCGTGATGTGGCCAAGAACATCACGGCCAACAGTCGTCGAGTGATGAACTCGGACAAATTTAATGGGATGAAGCTCAAGTTCGACGAGGAGGAGGAGCTCGCGAACTCCGATTCCAACATGGTGGTGGAAATGAGTTTCGATACCTAGAAAAAATTTACCTTAACTTATATCAAACCATAATGTTGTTGGCTCCGATCATTAGCCAGTCAAACAAGTGTCATGCACTTGAACTTAATTCGTGGCCAGAGCAAACACAGATGTTTATGCTTGATCTGTACTTTTTCTTGGGATTTCTCAGCTCTGTTTTTCCCACCATCAATTGAAGTAGCCGCCATGTGAATAACACATTTAGTATTTAAGAATGCGCAAAAGTCTCATTTGAATCATAATTGTTCCGGCATCGAAGAGTGGCCCTAGCCAAGTCATCTCTTCTCAATCATTCAGTAGCTTGTAAACTAATGTTGTAATTAAAAGCTAGCTTAGTCTGTGCAAGGAACTAAACTTGTAACCAAACAGTAACTCTTTTAGTTTGCTTCCCTAAACTTCGTTGTCTTCTAAAATCTGAACTTTTTCAATGCCGTTTAATTTAACTTGTTTCGCGTGTCTTCGAGTTCCGTAAACATGAATTACTTAAGTGTTCCGCGTGTCTTTCCACTCCAAATAGCCGGCAAATTATTCCGGAATATCTTCGCCCAGCAGGCGGTATAAATCCATAAAGCTAAGAGGTCGACGCGATAGTGCTTATCGGTTATCGCTTTGGGGGCGAAAAATTACGTACAAGTGTCGTTAAACTTTGGATATGCAAACAAACTACTGATACACTTAATGGCAATAGCACAGCCAACACAACCAACAACACAGCCCCATGAATAACCGCTTAACGAGAGCGCTGCCCAAATATTTGCCCGGCCATAAAGCGTGTGACAATCCAAGAAGCCAGCGATGACGACTGCAGCTCCGCCGAAGGTTTTTGGTTTCCTCGCGGAAAACATGTTTATGCATATGAAAGCCGCCGCCACCGGCAAAGTTTGATAAAGCGTCGTCGTCGGCGAGATTATGCTGAAGAATATATAAATCCCGGCCGGGCCAGAACACGGCACAGTTCAAATCCAGCCCTACAACTAAGAGGCAATTGAAATCCAAATCCAAATTCAAAAACAAAGAGAAACAATGAACCAGCAAGTGTTGATAGTCCTAGCATTGGTCTTAACCGCCTGCCAGGCACATCCCTATGTGTCCTACGACGATGTTGATGACACGGAGGTCATCGAGCTGCCCGGCAACGGCATCGAGGAGGCACCACCCACTCTCGGCAAGGACATCATTGATCTAACTCCTCTGGGAACGGCTCTGTTCGGCAAACCGGATGAGGAGCAGACGGCCAGTCGAGTAGGCAACTTCAGTGCCGATGCGGATGATATGAATCCGGAGGAGCTGGGCAGCTACCTGGAGGGCGATATGCTGGTGCCGCAAACGGATCTGATCATGAAGAACGGCCTGCCCACCCAATCCTCCCGTTGGCCCAATGGCGTGGTGCCCTACGAGATCCGTGGCAGCTTCTCTGCCCGGGACATGGCCACCATTGAGAATGCCATCGCGGAGTACCATCGTCGCACCTGCATTCGGTTCGTGAGGCGCAGCTCGGAGCGGGACTACATCTCCATTCGGGGCGACAACTCCGGCTGCTGGTCGTCGGTGGGTCGAGTGGGTGGCAAGCAGGAGGTGAATCTGCAATCGCCCGGCTGCCTCAGTCGTCCCGGAACCGCTATGCATGAGCTGATGCACGCCCTGGGCTTCCTGCACGAACAGAATCGCATGGAGCGCGATGGCTATGTGGCCATCCAGTACAACAATGTCCAGTCCTCGGCCATGAACAACTTCGAGAAGGCCGCTCGCACCGAGGCCTTTGGAGTGCCCTACGACTACGGCAGCGTGATGCACTACTCTAGGAATGCCTTCTCCATCAACGGACAGCCCACCATTGTGGCCATGGTGAGTAGGGGGATACCAGTCCTTTGGCTTTATCTGAATCCTTTCCCTCTTTCATCGACAACAGCAAGCCAATGGAGCCGAAAAGATGGGCCAGAGGAATGGCTTCTCGGACCTTGACATCCAGAAGCTGAACCGCATGTACGATTGTGGCACTGTGAATGCTGTTCCGGTGTCTCCGGGTTTCCCAGCTCCTGCTCCGGCTCCAGCTCCTGCACCTGGCGCCACTGCTGGCAGTGGCAATCCCATCGTGGACAGCTTCCTCGGCGGTCTGATCAGCGGGCTGGGCCTGGGAGATGAGAAAAAGGAGACAAGCTCTTGAAAAGGACTTGGCCGCAGAAACTACTAGCTCATACGATCACCCACCCACGCTCGAAAATATTTAAAGCATCCCTCACATACCAACAAACAACTAGCACCAATATTTGAATCTCTAGCTTCTTAGTCTTTAACTAATAAAATCTAGCATCAATTGAAACAATTTGGTTTGAGCTTTAATTATGACTTGAAAGGTATTCAAAAATACTAATTTTAAATGAATTAATTATAATTAAAACTTTGCACAAACTTTAAAGAAAATACTTATAAGCGATGGTTTAAAATCCATTGGAAAGAACATCGTCATATGGTTTTATAGACATTTGTGGTATTTTGTTTTAGACAATTATTATGTTAACAGAAACATTTAAAAGCCTTTAAAGCCTTTAATCACATTAAATACATAATAATATGTTTAAATTTGGTATAAAGATTTTTTTATACCAGTTACTTTTACAGTAACATAACATATAAAATATTGTATTTCTTGAAAAGTATGTAACAAGTAGAAGAAAGCATTTCCGAAGTATATATATTCGTGATCAGGATTGGTAGCCGAGTCGATCTAGACTTCTTATTATAATTAAAAAAAAAGTTTTATGCCCAAAAATCGATTTTTATTGCTATACCCCTTATACTGCATTATTTTAGTTGTATTAAGCCTGACAACAAAAGATTTCTGATCAAATTTTAAAATTTTATTTTATCCAGAATTAATTACACAATTTTTGAATAATAACCGAGAGCATACATTGGTGAGCAGATAGTTGTTAGGGCTGTGTCCCAACCAGGAAAGTTGTGCATAGTCGAAATAGAAACCGAAATAACCTTGGGGCATCTGGAGCAGATTCCACACCAAAAGGGGACAAAAAATGGGCAAACTACATGTTGCGCTTGGCGGCCAGGAGGCGGGATCGCGGCAGTCGGCATTGGCTGATGCTGTGCAGGCGGTACTGCATCTCCGGCTGTGTGACCTTCTCGTAGAGCTTCTTCTTGGCCTCCTTGACGGTGTGGACGAGCACCCCGTCACCGCCCTCGTCCATGTTGAAGGCCTCGCCCTCGGCGCACTCGGGACACTGCTGGGTGAGCACAATGTCGTTGAGATCGGTGGGCAGCTCGCAGATCTTCTCGATCTGCTTGACCACATAGTCGAAGCGGCCATCCTCCTGGCGCTCCATCACATACACGCTGGCCGTCAGTTCGAGGACCCTCGCCTCGAGCAGTTTGAGGAAGCGCACCACATTGACCAGGTTGACGTGGGTGTGGTCACCCAGGAGCTTTGCCAGCGGACTGGCATCGATGGAGCACATCTCGCAGACGGTCTCCACGCCCTGCAGCAGATTCTCCAGCCGGGCATCGTTGCTCTCCCGTGCCTTGTGCAGCTCCATGTTGGACTCCTGCTTGGTGCGCACCTTGCTCTCCAGACTGGCGATCTGATCCAGCTGCTCCTGCAGCGTATTTGTGTTATCCTTCTTGAGGGCCACTATGTCCTCGAACAGCCGGTTCACCGAGTTATTGAGCATGGTGATGTGATAGCTCATTTCGTTGGCATAGTTGAAGAACGAGTAGTAGAGGCTCTCCTGCTGCTGGAACTTATCGATCACCTCGTCCACATTGTTGGAGTCGGTGTACTGGAGGATCTTCTGCAGCACCGAGTTGTACAGGTTGATCTTCTTGTTGTGCACCCGTCGGAACTCGTCCCTTCGCTTGTACTCCTTGGGCTGCAGGTCGGCCAACTCCCGGGCCTTGGACTTGCAGTTCAGGAAGGCGGTATTGTCGCCATCGGCGGCCACCTTTCGCATAATGCCCTGCATCTCCACACGCCGCAGTTCCCGCTCCTTGGCCTCCCGCTTGGCCAACATGTCAATCTTCTCGTACACCTCAATGCAGCCGTCGAAAGTGTTTAGGGCATACTCGATCAGATCTATCAAGTACTTCTTGTCGCTATTGAGCTTCTGCACCATTTTCGTATATGAATCGTTGAAGAAGGTGCGATGATTCAGGATGCGGATGAGCTGCTCCCGCAAATCGGCATTGGCTGCCGTGAAGCCGCACTCCTGGCGCACACCCACCTCCAGGGAGTTCTCCAGTATGGTCATCCGCTTCCGGGCCTTCATCACGTATTGAATGTGTTGCTGGTCCGGAATGGTCAGACGATTGAGACTGTAGATCTGCTTGTCCATGCGGCTGGTTTCCTTCTCCATGTTGAAGATGGACGTCTTCAGGGCATTGATGTCCTGCGAGAGGTTCTCCTGGCACTCGACATGACAGCGGATCAGCTCCAGCCAGCGATTGTTTTCCTTCTTGTGGGTCGTGCCACTGGCCACCCAGATCTGGGCCCGCAGATCGTTCTTCTCCTCCTCCAGCTGGTCAATGGCCGTCTCGAAGCTGGCCTCGATGATCGTCTCCTTGCGCGTCTTGAGTTTGCTGGACAGGATCTTCTTGTATTCGCGCTGCCGCTTGCCCAGCTCCTTGTGCTTCAGCAGATAGCCCTCCAAAAAGGCCACCTTATCGAACTTCTTGATTTCCTCCATGGCAAATGGATGTTAATGTGGGTGAGTTGGTTGTAACGCTAGATAAGAAAAATATCCTTATTTGGGTTTTGTGTTGATGAATTGAATGAATTTACAAATGTTTGTTTAATGAAAACGCTAACTAAGATATGAGTTTCAAGGCAAGGCCTATGCTTAATAACTTTGCTTAAAAAAAAAAGAAAATTTTAAATCATTCATTTCCCTATATGTTAAAACTTTTAGAAATGTAACCCCTAAGCCAGTTATTTTTTAGTAGTTACTTATTAAAGAAGAAAGCTTTAGAATTAATTCGTTAATGTAAGTAAAATTTATTTTAATAATATAATTTCAATAAGCAATAAAATATATTGAGAAGGTAAAAAAAATAACTGAAATTTTGTCACTGCTGTGAAATGCCTGAGCTTTCAAGGGCATGGAAGATTTTTGAAGCGGACCAGATATAAGCAGCTTGTCGCAGATCGTTGCACAGCTCGTACTTGTTGGCCATCTGCTTGATGCCAATCGCTGCAGATTCCAATACGGTCTGCAGAGCTGCATCCACGATGTCCGCCTCCGTAGTGCAATCCTGAATCCTCTTAAGCTTCTTATTGGCTTTTATCTCAGGCTGATGGAGAAAAGAAATGGAAATATATGTAGCATATTAACTATTGACAAGAATTAATGATCCTACGTAGCTATCACCGCATTGCTGCAGCGACTCGTTGATCGAGTTCATCAGCTCGATGATTATTTCGGATGTGGTTTTCGAGTTCATCTTGCCGTAGGACACATGGTTAATGTTTTTGAGGTACTCGAAGTACGAGACAGTTACCCCGCCGGCGTTGCAATAGAGATCGGGCACCAGGAGCACGCCCTTCTCCAACAGGATCTTTTCGCCAGCGGGTGTGGTGGGTCCGTTGGCGCCCTCCAGAATCAGCTTGGCCTTGACATCATTGGCGTTCTCGCTGGTTATCACCTTCTGGGTGGCGCAGGGCATCAGAATGTCGGTATCGGCCGTCAGCAGCTCCTCGGTTGTCTCCTCCGCCTTGGGGTATCCCTTAATGGATTTCGTTTCATCTTTGTAATTGAATAGATCCTATAAGATTAGGATTTAGCTTTAGCCAAGCATCATCATAAATTGAAGTGGCACTTACATTAATATCGATACCGTCTTTGTTAACAAGGGAAACGTCGAACTCTTTGATTCCGATTACCTTGGCGCCCGCTTCGTGCACAAACTTTGCGGCGAAGGAGCCCACATTGCCGAAGCCCTGCACGATGACCCTCTTGTCCTTCCAGCCCGTCTTGAACTTGATCAAATCCATCCAATCCTTGTCCCTCAGAAAGAGATCGCCCGTCTTCCAAACGCCTCTGCCCGTGGCCGAGTGACGACCGTTAATGCCGCCGATGTGAACGGGCTTGCCGGTGACAATGGCCAACGAATTGATGTCCTTGTAGCCAAAGGTCTTCTGGTACTGATCCACAATCCAGGACATCTCCCGCGGACCAGTGTTCACATCGGGTGCTGGAACATCGATTCCAGGTCCGATCATATTGCGCTTCAGTAGCTCCATCGTATATCGCCGCGTAATGGTCTGCAGCTCATCCACGGTATATAGCTTGGGGTCGATGCATACTCCGCCCTTAGATCCCCCGTATGGTAGATTTACGCATGCGCACTTGAAAGTCATAATAGCGGCGAGGGCCTTCACCTCGCTATCGTTCACGTCCAGAGCGTAACGAATACCTACGTGAAAGGGGGAAAGACTAAGGTAACTCAGGAACAATTTAAGATAATACTTTGGAATATGAAATCAGTCCATTTATCTACCAAACTTTTAGGTTTGTTTTATTAAAGCCTTTGTATAAAAGCTAAGGAGTTTGCGTCTTAATGTGTTTATTTTACTATTTGTAATGTGGTAAAAAAATGGAGTATTAAAAATAAATATCTGGCTATTGAATTTAACTTTTTTTACTTCATATTTAAATTAAAAATAAAATCATATTATTAAATACAGTGCATTCAAAATAATGTCGAACATTTTAGATTAAAAATTGGGCATATTTGTTATAAATGCAAATAAGTAAAATTTACTTTTTTTAAAATTTATTTCGAAAATGTTCGAACGAAAAATGAAGAAAAAAGTAATATTTTAAATAAAAAACAAAGCCAAACATATTGAAATTACCAGTGCAGTACTGACAATGTTGGTGCTAAAGAATTCGCGTGTTTGCAAGGAGTTCAGCTACTTACCGCCCTTAAGGGGCAGGCGGTGGCGTACATGGTGCGATCGATAACCACTGATGATCTCGTAGTTGCCATTTTTGCGGACAATGGGAAAATTAACTTCCACCGAGGCGGAGACACTCCCCAGCAAATTGAGAATGGCGGAGACGCGAGCTTGGCGCTCCTCCGGCTGCATATGCGGATACTTTTCCATTTCCTTGACCAGCTCGGGTTCCATGGTCTGGGCTGCCCTATGGTAGTAATACAGCACCATGGCCGAGAACTCTGGGTCCTTGTCGGTCTCGACTTTTTTCAGGTGCTCGGGCATCTGGTGTTTGTCACGACATGACATTTGCCCAGGGCCATAGCAGCGTATCCTCTTGAGGATCCTTTGCAGACAGCGAAACATTATGCAGCGCGCAGTAATTAATTGATAAACAATTGAATAATTGATAATTTTGAAAAAAAAAACCAGGATCGATGAAATTTTTTTTTACGCTTTTACAGATGGAAGAGAAATAATCTTCACTGCTCTGAAATATCGCCCAGAGAGAACTAAGTTGTATTTTCATATCGTTTTTCTTTTATTGTTTTTATCATTAGCAATGTTAATGTTAATCGTAGCTTAAATATTACAATGTACGCTTGTATAAATACAATATTTTAGAATTGCTCTACAAATGTATGTGTATCTATGTATCAATATAACGCTACGTTTATGCGTGTAATACGTGGCTAAGCTAGACTACGAGCTAGACTTAAGTATTAAGCTATCAACTATTAGCTATACACACACATACAAGGTAATAAATACTTCTTGAACTGACGATTAACGCACGCACTTAATGCTGTAGGGAAACTAGGGAGCCTAACTAGGGGTAGCCTATAGATATACATATGGTAGACGATAACAAGAGTTCATCAGATACATGATGATCAACTACTGTGCCGTATTACGTTTAAAACTTTTGGGATCGCACGGAAGCGCAGAGAAGTACAGAAAGTAGAGGCTTGGAAGTGGGAAAACTTAGTTGTACCAGTAGCACTGATTACAGGTTATACATAAATACTAGAGACCTACTTATATGCCATACACACATCCTCGTCGCTATATACATGCATGATTTTGAAATGTTTCTGGTGTCCCGTGCGGGTAAAATGATTATGTAAGTATAACAAAATGTTGCGCTCTAATATCACTTTGGGGACACATGCTTTATGGCCTCTTTCAACGTTTGATCCTTGCAGCAGACATCTTTAAACAGACTATGTGAGAACGAAGAATCATCGTCGCATTGCACACAGAATTTCAAATTTAATTCGCTTCACCTTCAACTGGTTCTCTTGCTGTTCCTCTTTGATTTACAATGCTTTAGATCGCTGACTTAATCCTAACTCTGAAGTATTTTAAATTAATTTCAAATTAATTCAAAAGTCTAATTTTTACACGATAATTACAAGCGAATCGGTTTGATAGGTTGGTGGGTGGTATTTTGTGGGGTAGAGGATCGGGACTTCGGGGATGGTGGGTTGGCCAACACTTTAATCTCGTAGCAAGATCGCAGATCGGAGGCTGCTGCTTAAAAGCTAACATCACGCTTGGTAAACAATAACGCTCGACAGTATTTTCCGGTTGGTTGAGTACAATCCGTGGCTGGGAGCAGATCGCCTGGAACTGCTCCCGATTTAGGCAGCTTCTTCGCTGCTCCGCCGCTAATCCACATCCTTCTTCTCAATCTTAAGATCGTACTTGGCCACCAGCTCCTCGGGGGTGTGCCTGTAAATAAAGAAAATAGTTTGATTAATTTATTTTAATGGCAAATATATGAATTACTATGGTGAACACAAGGTCTAGGCTATGCAAATTTAATGTTTAATGCTACCAATAACATGTGTGCAATAAAAAACTAATAAAAGCAAAACATAAAACCGGTTTCAATAAATAAAAAAGGTTTTGTAATCACTGCTAATGCTCGAAGGCTTTTATGTCCATTATCTCTTAAATTTTATTTGAAAAATATTTTGAACTTACCCAACTAGATTCTGGAGATCACAGACAAAGCGGTAGACATATCGTTTGCCAGCCGTCTTGTGGATGATGTTCTTGTCATAATAGTAGCGCAGACCGCGACTCAGCTTCTCGTAGTTCATCTTGGGCTTGTTCTTGCGTATGCCCCAGCGACGAGCCACCTTTTGGTTAAAAGAGGTAAAGTTGAGTTAAGGCATTCGTAAAAAACTCAATAAATAGTATCTTACCTCATCGGGATCGGTCAGCTTGAACTCCCAGCCGTCGCCAGTCCACGAGATGAAGCTCTGGCACGTCTTGTCCAGCAGCAGTTCGAGCAGGAATTGCCACAGTTGAATGGGACCCGATCCGGTGAAGCATGGCACTCCGCCCTGCGTCGTGTAGCCGCCGAGCAGCCCTTTGTCCAGGCCCAAGGTGCTCATGTACGCCGCCTGATGCTGGTGGGCATGACCACCCCACTGATCCATGGCCGTGTGCTGGGCGCCCATCGACTGGAAGGACTGCGCTTCGTATGGCGAAAAATCCGGCGGATAGCCATCGTGGAAGCGACCCCGGTTCGCGTAACTGGCATAAAACTCGGAGCTGCCGTCCAGATAACCATTACTGTTGCCGGTGCTGCCACCACCTGCTCCTCCGCCTCCTCCTCCGCCACTGCCGTTTCCTCCACTCGGCGGCTGACTTTGGTGATCCTGCGACGAGATCGTGCTGTGGTAATCACCATCATCGCCACCGCCTCCCGAACTTCCGCCGCCCGTTGGCCCACTACCACTAACACCGCTGTAGGAGGCCAGGTGGGCAGGCAGGCCATAGCTACTCAGATCCGTTGGATCGTTCTGGCTATTACTTCCGCCATATCCAATGCCACCATTCTGGGTGCCCGGCTCCTCTTTGAGCTGATGTTGGTAGATCGCCGCCATGGCAGCCATATAGTTGATATTATTATTGTTATTATTGTTGTTATTGCTGCCCGCATTCGCATTGTTGCTGTTGTTGCTGCTATTGCTGCTGTTCGTGTTGCTGCTGCTGGTGTTGTTATTTTCGTTGTTGTTGTTGTTGTTCTGCTGGACAGCGGGCGGTAGCATGGAGTTGTTGTTATTGTTGTTGGTGCTGCTGCTGGCGCTGCCGCTGCCATTGACAGTCGGCTGCTGCGATTGCTGCTGCTGCGGGGGCGGGCTGTTGTTGCTGCGGTCGTGTGTGTTGCTGGTGTTGTAGCCTGCAAGCGATACGAAAAAAATAAGAGGTTAATTGGATTTCATTCCATAGTGCCATGGATAGTGCAATGGATATGGGTGAGGATCATATAATCTGTTGCTGTTAACCCACATCAAAAATGACATAACAATTTAAGAAATCAAAGCAGACCACTTAGAAAACAGCCTCAATTAAGGTTTTAAAGATTTATGGAAAGAATTTTTTAACATGATGCTTAATTCGCACACTTTTATATTTTATGCAAGAAGAAGATTGTAAAAATGTATTACAAATAAAATTATTTTATTATTTTTAATATAGATTGTGCATTTGGCTATAAAATTTAAGATACTTTTTTAGGAGAGGTGTTCCTAAGTTTTTGTGATTTTGCATGTGTTCAAAGTTTTAGATTATTTTCTGTGATAAGCATTCTGTCAGCTCATATATGTACAACAATAAATTTTATATATTAAACAAAATAAGTTGATAGAAATCATATGACACTAATTTTCTAATCTTTTTTGAAATTAACTTCTTTTTTTTATATATTTCTTAAAAATACTTGCTTTCAAATAATAAAATGTTATCAATGAAAACGAAACATTTTTTTTAAGATAATCTTAATTGTAATTCTTAAATTATTAAGCACCAAAAGGCCCAGAATTTCTCATAAGAAATATTTTATAAGCGCCTTCAAGTAGAACGATAGTTTTTCACACGCCAAAACACATTGATTATAGATTGTTCGCAATTTTAATTAAATGATGTTCATAGAAATGGGGCGTCTCTCAATAGAGGGAAAGACTTCGAAAACCAATCAAAATCACAGCACACACACACACACTCATACACACCCCAGCGCACAGATACGCACGCAGACAGACGTAGCTACCCCGATCTAATGGTGTGCACGCTACATTAATTGCGAATACAGCGAAATTTAACACATTTCGATGTACAACACTCGTGTATTGTATCTGTGGGCTACGAAAACCTGTTGGCACATACCCACACATACATGCGCAGCTGTGTAGCCGTCTCTCTTGCACTCAGCGAAGAAATAAAAAGCTTTCCCAGCGCTTCGTTTCGCTTCCCATTCGCCGGCAGATACAGATATACAGATATACAAAGATACAGATACAGCCCCCCGTTGGCTGGCCAAAGAGTTGGCAGCGCCTCTTTAGGTGCCGCCTCCAGAGAGCGCGAGAGTATCTGCCAGATACATCTGAGCTACCGGGGCATCTTCTAACTCTCAACAAGCCACTTATCACCAGGTCAATCTGCTACACCCAGAGAAAAATAATAAGCTAATGGTAGACTAATAAAGTTATTATAAATTTGTTCCTAACTGGTAGTACCTCTGTTGAATTCGTTTAAGCTCGTTTAGAAATAAAATCTGTTAAAATTAAAATTACTATCATTAAAAACATAAATTTGTATAATTGTACAAAATAGTCAAAGAATCAGAAGTTCGAATCCCACCGAAGTAAAATGATTTTTATTATTGATCATAATAATAATAAAAAATAGCAATAAATCGGGTTTTAAACCAAAAGCAATTGCATATATTAATTTATTGAAATTCATTTTTGATTTATAAAGGGAAAATTCCACACGTTTGATTTAAATTCGTTTTTTTTTCTGCGTGTACCCCTTTCCGCTTTAGCCACCCCGACTTGTTGCGTGTCAAACACTTAAAAGCAAATTACGAATTTAATTATGCCACCGCATCTTCTTCTGGTTTGCTGCTCTTTGGTTTTCACACCCCAGCAAGCGTAATTAAAAGCACCGTTTTTGATGTCGGTAAATATTTGCTGACCTGTACCTGAACTAAAGAAGTTGACATCCGAGTCCGTGTAGTAGGCATTGCCATCGCCCACGAAGGGCGCCATGTCATTGAAGTACCCCAGTCCCAGTGACGCGGCCGTGGAGCTGCTCAGGGCCCCCACCAGATTGCTCGTGGTGCTCCCAGCGGCGGCTGCAGCTGCGAATCCCTGCGAGGAGGCACTCGACGAGGAACCACTCGAACTGGAGCCAGAGGAGGTGGTGGTGGTGCTGCCCGTACTGCCGCCGGACAAACGATGGTGGGCCGACAACTGAGATGATGAGCCGTATCCGTGTTGCTGCTGCTGCTGCTGCGGCGGTTGCTGGTGGGGATGTTGCTGCTGTTGCTGGTGTTGCAGGTGCTGATGCGCCGCCTGCTGCTGCTGCTGCATGGCGTGGTGGTGCAGCGGTGCCTGCTGACCCAGTTGGTGGTGCGGATGGCTGTGGTGGTGATGATGATGGTGATGATGCTGTGCCAGGTGATAGCTGGGATAGTTGTCATAGCTTTGCAGGACCATATTGTAGTTGGGTGCCGTGTGGCAATTGTTGTTGCTGCTGCTACTGCTGGTGAAATTGTGGTTTTGCTGTTGCTCCTGAAGCTGCTGATCCTTCTCGCTGTCCAAGGCGTTGGCGGCACTGATTATGCTGGCATTCACTAAAAACGCAGAGGGCGGCATTTCTTCGCTTCAAAATGATCGGTACTCAAAAACGGAAACTCCACCTCGCTGGTCAAAGTGCACGTCATTGACTCTGGACTAGGGAAATCTGCGGGATCAGCTCTCAATTGATAGAATTATGTCCCCTTATGCTGGTGGTACTTGCAGTTGTATTAAAATTGATTTCACTTCACTTTGCTTTTCGGTTTTTGGGGGTCGAGTAGGGGAATATTTTAATTTTTGCACTGTCAGATTTGAGAAAATTTGGTTGTTTTGTGGTTCATGGTTTATGGTTTTCGGCGTTCGGTTTTCTTGATGCGGGTCCTAATCAATTGGATGGCCCGCTGGACAATTGACAAGTTTTTAGTATCAGCAGGGGACTTATGAGGGTGTGATATTTCCAAATCCCTGCTTTGCTTGCGGGATTTTAATTAACAACGCTCGCACTTGTTGGTATATCTCACAATATATTTGCGGTATTCGCAGTTCACACACCGTCGCGAATTCTTAGCACTTTTGCGAATTAATGGCAATTAATTGTGAGCACTTCACGATCGTCGCTCTGGCACGGGCGATAAATTAATGCGCATATCGTAACTACATGTACATTGTTTTCATTCCATGCGACAATCTGTGATTTTAGTGTTGTTTTTCCGTTTCTCAAGTTCGAATATATTTTATCGTGTTCTTGTGTATTTTGCGCGCCTTTTCCTTCACACAACCGGCGATAAAAAAAAGAACGCGGCGTATGAGCGATTTAATATCGGAATGGGTCCAGTAGAGTGTAGAGTATGGTACTCTTTATATGGGGCAATATGCGCGGACAAGCGACGTTAGCTCTACCACCTTCGACATCCGTTTAAGATCTGAAGTTGCTCTGAAGTTGCACTCGGGTTGTTGGCTGTTTGGCCGTTCGTCGGCCCGCTCGTCATTCGCTCTCTCTTTCTACACTCGGCCCTTCTCGGTCGCACTCGCAAGCGTTTGTGTGGGAGAGAGTGCTTCGGGTTGCGTTCGGCTCGGCAACGACTTCGGCTCGCATTCCGAGATACAAATACGAATGTGCCAATGGAACGGCAAATAATAATAATCGAGTCGAGAATACTTTCACAGGGTGTTTCTCACACGCTCTCGCTCAATCAGCCATCCATCGACTGCTCTCTTAGTTAGTGGCAGTAACTAAACAAAAAAAAAACCACAGCGACTCAAATTAAATGCCCCGACGCTGCGCATTTAAGGCGATCATTTGTTTCAAGAGTTTGGCGGTGAGTTGAAGTTCTACTTGTTGATTTTGAACCATTCGAACAGCACCAAACATTTGTTACCTTAATATCCACTATCGGAAGTTAAATAAAAATATTATATTTCGATAAGGAAAGCCATTAAATAGTACAAAAAAAAAACAGTCTTACATATTTGTTGAATTGACCCTTGTCTTTTTACTGGTATATACATTTGATAAGCCTTAAAAAACTTTACCCTTATGATTCACAAGAAAACTAGTTATATTCCATTTAAACTGAAAATATTTATTTCCATTGCCGATATTTTATTTTCGTTCTAAACTTGACCTTATGTAGATTTGGATAAATCCGAGAATTTATTATCAGAGCATTGTTTCTGAGAGTTTTTGCTCGACAACAAGACTGCTGTTTTGCGATAAAATTATACTTCAAACAGCAACATTTTTTTTGGCGTTTTATACTTTTGAAAAGTATTTTTTAAAGAAAAATATATATGTCTGCATGTCTGTGGAATTTATATTATCATGCATTGACAAAGGGTTTATTCCACGACTTAATCATCATTCAACATTTTTTGTAAACTTAAGTAGTACAGTTTCTAGTCAAAATGGTCTTTTGAGATCATTAACATCGCCAACGTTAAAAGACCCCTCAAAATGGCCCTCAGCAAATCAAAAGACAGAGAACAAAGACGTACGGAATAATAATATAGAAAAGTATCTCGGCCCACTGGTCAGTTGGCTGGGCTCTTGGCGATCATTACCATGATGATCGAGTGGGCAGCACATCATCAGCAAGCTCCACACAGCAAATGTATCTCACAGATACTCGCATAATGAGCCAAAGTGGGATTGGCTGCCGCCTCTCACAAACACACTCGCTCGATGAGATCATGCCAGAAAAAAAAACACAATGAACAAAAAATAAATAAAAACAGAGCAGCAAGAAATTAAAAATTAGTTAACTATTTCAAACCCAAGGCGTACGTGTCTTCGACTTGGCTCCACTTTCAGATACACATATGAATTATATAAATAATTTTTGTTTTGGCTAATGAAAAAAAAAAATGGTGGCCAACAGCGCGCTGGAAACGTGTTTTGGGGCATTTTTTCTGCCGTCCGCCAGCCAATGACAATGTACTTTAGATTTTCGGGCTAAAAACGAAACGAGCCCCAAACGTGAAATCCAGAATGACACGTTCCCACTCCAAACGAGATAGATCCATGGCTAGGTGGATAAAGATATCGAACACCCTATAGAAGCCATAGGTGAATATTTCGCTTATCAGCTTTTGGGGGCAG